CTAAGAGCGCAATTTACATTTTATTTAAAGCCTTTGTGTGTATTGTATATATAGCAAACATTTTCAGGTTCGACTTGTGAAATCAAGATATTTAACCGCGAGAAACCTAGCGGTAAGAATATTGTGAGAGCAAAAATTACTTGTCTGAGTAATGCCCTGCTTTTATTAACATCTAAAAATATTGCCGAGTGGAGTGAACACGTCCATGATGAGACCGACGCGATTACTTGTGACGTTTTTTGAAGGTAAAATATAAGAGTACATTATTTATCTTAGTTATTTCAGAAAAATGAATGCTTAAAAATCAAAGTGAGGTTTATTTATTTACAAGGTTGTATCAAAACAATAAATTGTATACCATGTATTTAAGGATTATCTACTCTTAATCTTCCTAATCGCGTTGAATATCTCGACTCTATTATTCCCTTTGTCTTTGAGAATTATGCTCCATCAAAAGATGGGTATTGTAACTTTGTTCCGAAAAGTAATTGTGTAAAAGCCGAGCCTTAGCTGAGTCACGTGGCTAGATACTTCCGCCTCATAAGTTTTAATGATGGCTGCTATTATTCTAAAGATGATCACCTGCATGCAAATTATGATCGTCTTTATACAGTAATTTAAAATTTTATTCCAAAGGTTTTTCGTAAATTTTCATTCGAGGGGTGTGCTCAAATTTCTGTTGAAAAAAGAGGAAGTTGAAATATCTCTTTGCTTGGAGATAAATTAATTTTGTTTTTAATGCTCCGTCTTTTTTTAAGGTAGCCGCGTGTCCACTTAAATCCGGTCTAAGGTTACTTCGTATTCTTTCGTTTTTACTTTAATTTATACAGGACTTAGTTTAGGATAATTAATTCGGTTTACGCTAGGAAATTATTTTTGTATGACGGCATGAGGTCAGATTCTTTAAAACAAAGACTACATATGTATATAAAACCTGGATACAACTTTCTCAATTAACAGTCATGCTCGCGGCTAGTGACCGAAGCTCTTTTAATATTTATAGCACATCATGAATAAATCTTTCACACGAAAAATTGGGAAATATTGAACCATTATTTTACGGTTAATAGTTAAATTAATTTCAACTTCAGTAAGTGCCGATTAAAAACATACGGGAACAATTCCAGAGACCACGCTATAAACAAATGTTATTGTGAAACTCGATGCTATGAATTATTCACGTGGGAAAGGTTACAACCAACGAACAACTGTAACAACCGGCGATTCCTAACAAAAACTTTACAGTTTTGCCTCGATACAATTGTTTTATATTTAGTTAACAACTGCTAAACGATTATAAATAGCACTTCGGTTTATTATCAAATCGAAGGAATCAAACTTAGTTTAACATAATATAACGTCTTGAAAGTATAATACAAATGAGTCGGTAAGCTAAAATTTTTTATACATATCTCGGGTCATGTATTACTGGATTTAGGTCATAATGATACGAGGGTATAGGAATTTGGTCATTACGTCATACCTTTGTATCGCTGAATGGTCTTGCTCAGCAGTTGCATTTGCAACCACTGAGTATCTGAACAAGATTCTACTACTACTAATCCAGACAGTCGTAGCCAGGCTTCGTTGGTCGAGTCAAGGAACTGACTAGGTAATAGCTATAGATATATTTTATTTCCATATCTTCTATCACAAGTCCCTGTCGCGTTATCATCATTTCAAAGATACTTATTGAGGTCTCTATACCTATGTCGATGTGTGAATAATATATGCCACACATATAGAAAAAACAAAACAGTACATTTACTCATACTAACCTACTTAAAGGTACTCTAAAAGTCCCAAGGCATTTATTGAAGCAAAAAAATCTATATTAATGTAACTTTAAAAAAAAGAATCGGCAGATACTCTACTAAAAATATCTAGATACCAGTAAAGTAAGTACCTACTTGATTTTTTTATATTTAGGTACTTTCACCGTGAACGCTCTACAGCGATACGCTATGTCAACTTAAAATTTATTTAAGCTAAGCTTTATCGAGATACGACCCTAAAAACTAACAACAATAGGGGTAGGGACATACACACTATCATAAATCCTTTACACGCGTCTTCACGTGTCTATGTAGGTACTACATTTAATAAAAGCTCGGGGTACTTAGGATTTGGAATACAATACATGTTGGTAATCCCCCTGAAGCTGACTGCCGATCCGAGCATGAATTGCTCTGACGCTATGATAAACCTTTTGTTCTCTGTGACGACTTTTTAGAATTGTTATCGAGTCTATTGTGGGCGGTAATGAACGACACTTCACAGAAACTGTGCGCGGAGATAAGGAGTCAACTACCGAAGTGAATATTGACAACATTTACAACTTGTTTACTATATTCGCGCGATTTTGTATAAAACTGTATCAAGTAGTTTACACTATTTCTCCGAAGACTACTTACCAATTCTGCGAAATATTTACGAAGTTTCCACTATTAATGACTTAAGAAGGAGCTGCTAAATTTAAAATTGAACCATTTAAACTATAACTGTTAACAAGAAATTGGAATACCGAAGTCTATTTTAGACTGAAGATTGTTTACGAAGCTATAAGGGTACAAGTGTTATAAATATTGATAAAACATCGGCCATTTAAGAGGTTGTTGTATTGTGTACATTGCGCACGATAACATAAGACAAAGCGGCCAGCACCCGAACAATATGAAAAGTCAGCTATACTGTGGGTTATTGGAGAGAACCATAATTCAGTTGGAGGGTAGATAACTTCCAGCGGTAAATATACTCGGGGGCCTGATACCGCTGCTGCGATACAAATGAAATAATCTTTGATAAACTTCTACTCTAGTTTTTCGTTTCTAGTCGTGCCTCTTTACAGACACCTAGGGACAGTATGGACTAGATACAATTTCCGTCTAAAATATAATAAATTCGTCTGAGACTTAAACAATTCTAAAATGTTAACCTCATTTTATTTCAATAATATTCCAACAACGACGCGACAATAACACACCAAAATACCGTGTGCCGTCAAGAGATATCTAGTTGACAAAAACATCGTCTCCGATAACCTCTCAGTCCGTGGCGAACTAATACCATTATCACTGATACGAAATAGGAGGCAGGCCACTCAAACGACTCGATTGTACGTCCCGGGAGGGTAGTGCTGAGAGGCCGGCGGCGCGGTGCGTCACAAAGGGCATGTGTACTAGCAAACGACGCAACAGTCGCGGGAGTGAGACGTGCCTCGCATCCCACCTGACTGACCTGTCCTCCTGTCCGGGCGACGCTTGTACGACGCAGTGCCGCTCTTAAAGGAGATTAGTTCCCCCTTTGCCTTTTCACAGCGCCAGATAAGTATCTACGACAGAACACGCTCTGGCTAGTCAAGATTTTGCAACATAAAATTCAATTACAGCAATTATTCGCCATTATCAGAGTACTGTGCCGTATATAAATGCATTTTGTTCATTAGGAATTCCACATGCGTAAACTTACAAAAGCGACACAAAGGTAGACTAATTAAATTTTCATAATACCTCAAACATTCTGCTCGAGTAAACTAAATGAACTTGTGCATGACACCTTCACCGCATACAGAGAGAATTTACCTTCATTCGCCCTTTTGAAGGTGTTAACTCTCGGAGAAAACAAGTTATAGAGATTAAACTACATAAATTTCAGCAAGACTACGTGAAGAACTTACCATTGGACCCGACCTATCAAATAAATCCCAACGAAAGTATTTAGGGTATAAAACTGCTTCAGAGTAAGACGGACTAAACCTACTCGTAACTTATTCAAATGACATGTGGATGGGATAATGTACAAAAATATCGCTCCACGCTCCGCGATAAGCCTATTTTATAGATACCCTTCCAATTTTTATATCCCTTCCGAAGACGTGTTTATCCTATACAAAAAAATGAGGAGCAAGAAATACCAAACTGATTTCACTAAGGATCATAATACTATTTGCACTGAACACCATTGTCTAAAATAGATTCCTTGACTCACAAATGTAGAGTACATTTACATTACGTTTAAATAAATTTCCTATTTAGGCAGATGGAAGGCGAACGTATCGCACAAAAACAAGTTGATGAAAAAATACATTTTCGATAAAGCAAAGATTTGGAATCAATAACAAACTCAATTTTCAAATGGAAAGAGCTCACAACCAAGGACTACATAATAAAAAGGAATACGGGCGAGGCTCAATGGGAGAAGTCCTTTTTTATCAAAACTTCAACCATGTCCTGCAGTTGAATTGAACTTGGAATTCGATGAAATACGCTCATTATTGGAAAAGTGTACTTTACAAACTCATTCTAGACACAAGGACATGATTAAACAAATGGTAATCGAAAATATATTTCAAAAGGCAACAAACCCTACTTGCATATTCAAAATATTCCATTATATTTTAAAACAGCCTCTCCAATTATTAAAATAGCAAATGAAAAACGAACCAGACGTTTGAATGAGATTTTCTTATTTGCATGAATGAAAAGAGAAAATGTTGTTGTGGGACCACGTTTAATTAGACATTAGCATTTTTCTTGTCTAGAAATCTGATCATTAAGATTTGATATAAACGTTTTTTACGTATTTTAATTGGTAGTGAAGACCAATAACTGAGCATGAGGGACAATGGAGAATAATCTCAGTAATGTCTAACCTAAATAATAAAAGTCAGCTTTCTTTTCAACCGGAGCTGAGCGATATTCATGATGGTGGTGTTTTAGAGCAATTCTTATAACGAAGGCTATGACTTATTCATGTTCTGGAAGGTAGACGCAATAAGTTCGAAGACTTCAGATGGCGAGCTGTATAATAAACGAGACAATAACGAAGGCAGAGTGTCCTGACGACGCGCGACTGATCACAGGGAGGCCGAGGCCTACACATCTACACCGCAACCAACAATAAATGGGAAACAAAACAAACACACACCATAACACAAACAATATTATTGTATTTTCAAACAACATCAAATGTTATTGTTGAATATAAATAATTTAAAATATCTAAGTACTCTTTTCCTTTGTTGATGTGGCTATCGGTGTGTGAATCTGCCACACATTATTAGGTAACTCTCGTCCATAAACATCGAGGCATGTTTTTAGCAGAGGGGCGCAAACCTGTAATTAAAAGCATACAATTATTTTTGAATAACCCTTTTCATGTCAAACGCAAAACAGGCGCCTATAGGTACTAACTTTTCCAAAGAAACCCAAAGCCCAATGGCCCAGATTTATTCCTAAATTACGATTTGTAGAACAATGATTTATCACAACATCTTGATTGACCTGCAAATGAAAATTTTTATTTTAATTGGTATTTTATACTTGTAATACCTAAAGAAAGTTGTATTTCCGTTTAAAGTCACAATAATAACCATAATCTGAACAAAATGTTATTTAATAAACCCTTACATGCACAGGTGTCCCTTCCTGTTCGAAGCGCGTGATATCAGGCCTCTGTACCGGCAACACCCTCCACCGGGTATTAGAGACATTGTACTTGCTGAGGTACAGCGGGAACAAGCCACACAGGCCCGGCACTGGATCCGGATCATACCTTACGTATAACGGCTGAAACACAACGCACCTTTCACAAAAACCTGCGGATCAGGTATATAAAAAGGGACAGGAGCTTATTGACATGAATGGAATTTTCGTCCCTAACAAAATGTATGGTCTCTTTTCAAGATTAAATTTTTCCGCATCCTAGCAATTTTGTTTTCCTTGTGTTTTGTTAGCCTGTGTTCTCTGTATTATTGGATAAGCTGATTTTGATTGGGTAGATGCGTTCCTCATAAACATTTCTGTTCGATATTTATGATTATCTGTTGATAAAAAATTCTTTTATAATACCAACACACAAAAAGCAACTTTGACTATGTGAAATCCGATAGGAAGTATGTGGATAATACGGTAGATCGGTAAACAATCACACTGACCTTTCGAAACAGGACAAATAAATTTATTGTTGAAAACCAACCTCTTTCCTGTTTTTCGATGACGAGAGAATCAAAAGGAATTCTTGGTTATACTTCAATGGTTCACCAGTCCGGTCGCAATAATCGGCGCTTGTAATTATGAATGAATTGCTCAGTGCTGGAGGTTGATAAGGAACTCCAATGATAGTACAACCATCTTCAAGTTGTTGCGAATATGCAATATCATTCGAAGTCAAATGGCCGCCTAACAGAAGACCTAGTTTACCTTCAACAGGAGGATCGCTCGCTATAAACCAATAATGCAAATATTAATGAACTGTTTTCCACTGTCTATAAATAAAATTACTTCTTAGGAGCCATCTTGAATCGACGATAAAGCGGTTGTAAAAGAAAATTCTAAGCACGAGGTCGTAAAAGCGTTAGTCAGAATTTTGTCTGGCGTTTTCCGATTAATTTTCAAATTTTGTGGATAGACAAGTCCTAGATCGAATAATAGTTCAATTGATTAATAAATTAACATTTACTCGAACATTCGAAACTGGAGTAGTGCTGCAGTGAGCTACTGCGAGCCACTTATGGGACCTCACTTCTGTAACGCACGCAAATCTGACTAAATATTTTCTTCAGTTTTCAAAAACTCTCAGTATTTTTTTTCTTTTTAGTCAATAATAAGTTAGTAGACAGTATACAGTATACTAATAAGGCTTGGTCCATGTAAAATACATGGCGGTAAGTTATTTGGCCGACTGCCTCGTTGGCCGAGTGGTCGCAAGTGCTACTACCGGGCAAGAGGTCTCGGGTTCGATTCCCGGGTCGGGCAAAGTATTAATGGTTTTTTTTTTTAATTCTTAGTAGTAGCTTGGAGTCAGGTAATGTGCCTGGTATATGGCAATAGGGTCACCACCTATTACATGGGACTCATAACATAAATTGTGAAAAGTGTACATTGTAGTGGTATTTGCCGTAATGTACACCTCTGCCTACCACTTCGGGGATAAAATGTGTGAAGGCTGTTATTTTACTTAAAGAGAAATAGAATAACAAGAACTATGAATCGTAAAATATAAATTACATGGTACGTGTGGCGCATACAGAGATATTTTTGATCCAAAGGCGATGCTCCCAGAAGACTGGGTAAGAATCGTCGGTGCGTTAAGATTTTCTGTCATCTTCCGAAATCGAGCGAGCGTCAAACCACCTTTTTTCATTTGTTCCAGGAATATATTGAGTTTGTACTAAATAAATCACCAATAAATAATTATTGTGTATTCATTTTAAAATACCATTCGTTAATAATTAACTATCATGAGACATAACTCAATTAATTGATTATGCTGCTCATGTATATTACGACTCCCTATGAGACTTAAACCTTGTAGAGTTTTTCTCCACAGTTCACGTGAGTAATCCATCTATTTCTAAGAAATTAATTTCCGATATTTAAATACTGGTACATTACTAGATACAGGACTTACTGGTACATTTTTAGAAGTGTTTAAATGATTTATAGTTAGCCAAGTAACAGACATGGGATTTTGGGTTAGGAACTGAATAGTGAATACTACATAATACTTTTTTAAGGGGGGATAATCATCAAATGACTGCTCCCGCCTGGGTGAGGCGGGAGGGAGTGTTGACTCTTATTGACTAAAAACCACCCCGTTCCTACTTCTGCACGTCGTCGAGCCGGAGCCCCGGTAACCCATTAGGTTCTCCGCGACACTACATAATACTAACATTTACCTATTAGTAATTACAAGATTATGAAACCCTATGAAACATAACCTTCCTACAGAGTGGTATTTACCTCCTCCAATGTAGCAGCCTCAAACCAATTGCCGAGGCGTACTCGATTTGAATAGACAATACCTTTATCATCATCGTTTAATTTAATATTATTCCCAAACATTTTTCATATAAATAACCAATTAATACAAACACAAGCAAAACATCAAACGAGCTTTCAAAAGATTAACACAAACCAAAGACAATACGTAGGCCGTGAGTGATAGATATGTCAGCCATAGACAAAAAAGGAATAAATGAGGTTCCATAATTCAACGGAGAGTGAACCTAAAAAATTGTTCGTTGGCGAGAATATGGCATGAGTATGTAAAACTTCTATCTGGATAGAATAAATATATAAAAGTTATATATGTATTTACATACACATACCTATTTCATCATTTTCCTACATTTAAGTATATGTTGACGGATGGACGAAAAAAGTTAAACTAAAGAAGAGATGGAAGGATTGTTCTAAGAATTATACAAAAATCAGACATTTTCCGCTCACAATTAGCGCGTTCAAACAAAACAAACTTCTGGATTATTGCATTACATTATATATTTGCATATTCTTAAGTACTTACTTCGTAAAATCAAAGACAGCCTCACCCTCCATCAACATATTTATCGCATCATAAGCTGCGGCAGGTGCTAACCGCTAAAGATCGCAAGTTACCTTCACTTGCTACCTCCTACAGGCGCCTTTACTAAGCCAAGGATGCCGTAAGAATTTGGAACTCAAAGGAGGAACGAGAACAATGCCAAAGCGGTTCGGTGTTAGTTACCTTATTAATTTATCTATCTATACTACCAGGTATTAACCTAATATATACAGCTGAAGAATTTACACTCTTATCTTCGGAACTTAGTGGTTCGTATAGATTTTTTTTTGTGTTAAAACAAACTGTCTCGTTTGCCGAGTAGTCGCAAGTGCCAGGGCACGGAGTCTCGGGTTTGATTCCGCCAGGGTCGGGCAAAGTAATACTGGGTTTTAAAAAAATTCTCAGCAGTAGCACGGAGTCTGGAATTGTGGCCGGAATATGGCAATAGGCTCACCCCCTAACATGTGACTCATAACATAAACAGTAAAAAGTGAGTGTTACATTGTACAGTGGCATTAAGTGCCGTAATGTGCACCTCTGCCCTCACCCTGATAAAAGGCGTGATGTTATGTTATGTAAAAATAAATAAAAATCATTCACTTATCGAGAAAGACTAAAGACCATAGAACATCACACTACGATCAGTAGAAGCCGAGCAGGGGGTGAAGAGGTGGTAGAGCATCGATAAAAAATGTAGATGGAGTATTATAGGGTATGTTATTATATATACTACTAGCAGGCCGTCCCGGCTTTGCACGGGGTAGACAATTATTTATTTTTGGAAATTTGGATTGTTGTAATGACATAACTACAATAGTTGGACATATGCTACCGCGGAGTTTTTTGTAGACATTATGATGTTCTTCAATATTGTTGTACATTATTTTGTTCTATCGCTAATAGTTTCGGCAGCACATTCGACGAAAGACATTTCAAGGCTCATTTTTTTACACCTTCGGTTACATTGTTCAAATTTTACCAAGGATCCCTATTTTTTTTCAAAATGAAATGTAACCTATGTCAAATTGGAAGAATGTAGCATTTTATTGGTGAAAGAATTTTTTAAATCGGCCCAGTACTTTTTGAGCCTATTCATTACAAACATACAAAAATAGGTACAAATCTTTCCTCTTTATAATATTAGTATAGATATATACTAGGGTATGTTATTATTTCACCTAATATTCGCTACTTAGCTGCAATTCTAACCTTCACAAATGATATTGCTGCGTTACTTTTTATGAGGAACAGTATTGAAGCGTGTCGCCGAGTGGGACAATAAAAGAGTGCGCCCGTAAGAAAGAAATTAGTTCATAAAAGTTGAAAAAATATTGCCTTTTAGTACTTCTTGTGTTATCAAGTGTTTATAGGGTGAGGTGTATTAACTGTAGAGTTTAGGAAGATGGGAATATTTTACTCTGTCCAAATAATTATAATAATGTTTACTCACAAAATCTTGACATTGAATTAATACTCCGTATCTACTTAGGTACATTTAGTCAAGTTATTACATAACATCACGCCTTTTATCCCCGAGGACAGAGGTGCACACAGAAGTAACACCCACTTTTCACTATTTATGTTATGAGTCCCATGTAATAGGGGGTGAGCCTATTGCCATATACCGGGCACAATTTCAGACTCCGTGCTACTACTGAGATTTTTTAAAACCCAGTAATACTTTGCCCGACCCGGGAATCGAACCCGAGACCCCTTGCCCGGCAGTCGCACTTGCGACCACTCGGCCAGAGGCAGTCAAGTTATTAGTATATTGTATCTTAACCTCTAGTATGTCGGAGCGTAGATATACGCGAGACACAATGCGTTTTCTATTGTGTCTCATATATCGACAGACAAGATGTTAATGGATATAATAATACGTTACAATAATACATTGTAACTTGGCATTAAGTGCAGTAATGTGCACCTCTGCCTACCTGGGACAAAAGGCTTGATGTTATGTTATGTGTTATCTTACCGAAGTAATAGCTCTTGTAACTATTACTTAGTTGGCTGTTAGACTTAAGAGTCAAGTAACTGACTAAACGTTCGCACACGCACCAGACCACAATCAATCCACACAAGTGTAGTCATCAAGCATCCAGTCCTAATTAATCAGACTAGAACTGATTTACACTAATAATGCCCCAAATTAATTAATACCGATGCACAATCGTTTGTAACAATGGCTATAGAAGCAGATGTAATTGTTAAGTACCGACAAGTCAAATGTACCTACTAATAAAAGGTTGGGTTCGCCGAAACAGTTAAGATCACTTCTTTAATCGCTTAACAAGTTTTTTTGGTACTAATAGTAGACTAAACAAACTTCAGATAACCTAAAAAAGTTCAATGACTTCTTTAAAAAATCTATTTCTGAATATTTTTTTTATCTATAAACTGCCTCGTTGGCCGATTGGTCGCAAGTGCGACTGCCGGGCAAGGGGTCTCGGGTTCGATTCCCGGGTCGAGCAAAGTATTACTGGGTTTAAAAAAAAAATCTCAGTAGTAGCACGGAGTCTAGAAATGTGCCCGGTATATGGCAATAGGCTCACCCCCTATTACATGGGACTCATAACATAAATAGTGAAGAGTGGGTGTTACTTCTGTGTGCACCTCTGCCTACCTTCCTGCCTTCGAGGATAAAAAGGCGAGATGTTATGTTATGTTCTGTAGACGCAAAATTCAAATAACATTTTTATGTAACGAAGTACTTTTATTTTACGTGTAAATATTTATCTAAATAACAAAACAATGGCAAAAGTAACAGAAGAATTAGATATTAATTAAAAAAATATTTAAACTAGGGCTAAAAGGTTATAGTATCAGAAAGCTACTAATACATTTTCTTCCAAACTTTCAATCCTTGGTCTTAGTTTCTACATCACTGACAAGAGTGAACACATTTTCAGCTGTAAATCTTCCGTGAATGTCAGTGTAGTCCCTGCAATTCACTCCGCACTCCTGGGAAAGTTTAGACAGACTAACTAATTATACTTACTCAATGAATCTACCAACGAGTACTTTATTAGGTACGTACCTAAAAGTTTTTAACAAACAATACCTAAGTCGTCAATAAGACATTAAAACTACAGACTTTCTAAATGGATACAGGATAATGGATACTTATTTTCTTGTTTCTGAGAACCATTGTATGAGATTGAGTTTATATGTGAGATGTTGATACATAATATCGACTGCACGGTTGATGTGGCGGTAGCTGGGCAACCGGCTGCCGTGCAACGTGTCGCGGGTTCGATTCCCGCACGGAACAACAAAGTCAAAATCATTTATTTCAATTAGACCAGAAAGGCACTTTTGAACGTCAATAATAAAATTAAAAGTGAAGCTATTTGCTCATTCCAAGGTGAAGAGATTCCTATGGAGAAGAACGAGCAAGAAACTCCATAGGTTACTCTTTTTCAATCAGGTTCACAATACAATTCTCTAGTTACATAGTTTGCTGTTTGGATTGTGTGATAACAATGTAACACTAAAATCTAGTCAAAGTGATTGAAAAAGAAACTACACACTTTGTGTGATCCACAAATTGTTGTTTCGGGTCTGGGTGTCATTGTGTATGTGAACTTGTATGTTTGTAAACGCACCCACGACACAGGAGAGAATCCTAATGTGGGGCAACGTTTAAAAAAAATTGCATTAACTACATAGGACTCAAACACAACTGTGTCGCTTAATGTTCCTTTGGGGAAATAACAGATTAATTAATTGAATCTTTCACATAATTATGCATATTGTTAACTCAACTTACCGGTCCAAAAAATGTTTGCATCCAATTTTGATTCATAACACACAAACTCGTGTCTGAGACGCAGTTTTTAATTATGAGCCTGGCACCAGTCTGAAATAAGTTATAAAACAGCATAAAAATCTTATTTCCTTTTTGACATCTACATCTAAAATTTAAACGGGTCGAGAAATATTGAAAGCTATCTAGATTTTTAGGATCAACGCCAGCCAAGCTGGAATTCTTTTACAGAATGTTGATAAAACATTCTTTGTCCAAGGTATTTTTACTAGAAAAATTCTAACTTCTTTTGAATATTTTAAAGATAGGTAGGTACTGTAATTAAATTCCTCTTTGTCTACAATTTTAACACCTCTTTTAATAAAATATTGGTATTTTATTTTCACGATAGTGTAGGCACATTCTTTCAAAAAAAAATGTTACTTTACACTACGCTACATAATTATACAATAGGGTAGATGACTAATTTTTATTTTAATTATTTAAAAATATTAGACACGTATTTTTTTTTACGGAAACGAATAGTTTCGAAGATATATTGATTCGAAATGTCGCGTGACGTCACTTCTATGTACTAAAATGTACTTCTATGTACTAAAATGTACATAAAGGTGACGTCACGACGTACGTAGAAATGACGTTTTAGCCCCACTCCTAAACTTTGATTCGTTAGATTTAAGTATCATTTTATCATACACCAAAATAATTATTACCTAACTGACGGTTCATCAACAGCCTCTAAATGCCCACTGCTGAGCAAAGCCTCTTCTCACACGGAGAAGGTTAGAGCATTAATCACCACGCTTGCTCAATGCGGGTTGGCGATTTCAAACTTATAATTAGAAATTATAAGTCCAGGTTTCCTCACGATGTTTTTCCTTCACCGTTTGTCAGTGGTGTCTAAATAATCTTAGAAAGTACATATAACTCGGAAAAAGTCACATTGGTACTTGCCGTCGGTAGGTTTCGAACCCGCACCCTCATGTATGAGAAGTGGGCGTCTTAAACCTCCGGGCCACCACGACACTAACTTTTTTTTTTTTTTTTTTTTTTAATTTGTATATCTGCAATCAGTCGCCAGACTATAATCAGATGTGGTGAAGTGGGATGTGGCTTTTGAGTACAACAGGCCAATGCCTGTTGTCACTTATATTATAAGGTGTCGCTTTAACCTTTTTACGATTTTAGCATTGTCAAGTAATTCCATGACCAGTGGATTGGGGTGGTGGGCGAGACGCTCACGATGTTGTTTTTTATAGCGGTCTATTTCTGACGCTACCGTTGGTATGTGCAGGTACTCGTGAATTTCGTCATTTTTCGTAAACCACGGAGCATTTGCAATGTTTTTCAAGATAATGTTTTGGACCCTTTGTATGCATGTTGTATTAGATTTGCTGGCTACTCCCCACAACTGAATACCATATGTCCATATAGGTTTCAGTACGGAGTTATAGATTAAAATTTTGTTGTCAATGCTGAGCGCAGAATTTCTACCCATCATCCAATTTAAACTTCTAAATTTGTGGTTGATTTGGTCTCTTTTTGCCTTTATGTGACTTTTCCATGTTAGTCGTCTATCAAGGTGGAAACCCAGGTATTTGACACATTCCGTTTGAGGTAATATGTTATTCTTCAGGCACACCGGGGGACAGTCTCCTTTTCGCAGTGTGAAGGTTATGTGGGTCGATTTCTGGGCACTAGCTTCGATACGCCATTTGCTAAGCCAATCTGAGGTGTAATTGAGAAGTCTTTGAAGTTTTTCACTCGCTATTGTGGCATGACTGTCCACTGCTAGAAAGGCTATGTCATCAGCATAGGTAGCAACAGTGACATCATCTGTAGTTGGTAGGTCTGACGTAAACAGGCTGTATAATACAGGACCTAGTACCGAGCCCTGAGGCACCCCAGCTTCAATCGGGAACAATGATGATCGTGCCTCTCCTACTTTAACTCTAAATAATCTATCCGTGAGATAGGACTCCAGAATATGAAAAACAGAATGTGGCAGCTTTTCTTTGATTTTAAAGAGCAGTCCCTTGTGCCAAACGCGATCAAAGGCTTGTTGAACGTCCAAGAATGCAGCAGAGCAATACTGTTTATTTTCGAAGCATTGTCTGATTGTGTGGTACACTCGATGTACCTGTTCTATGGCGGAATGTGCCTTACGGAACCCAAACTGGTAGCAAGGTATAGTAGCATGTTCATCCATTATATCGTTGAGTCGTTTCACGAATATCCTTTCCCACAGTTTAGAAATGACTGGAGTAAGACTTATTGGTCGATAAGACGAGCATTCGTGTGGTGGTTTACCCTCCTTATGGATCATTACTATTTCTGACACCTTCCATAGATTTGGGAAATAGGACATTCTAAAGATGGCGTTAAACAAGCAAGCCAGGAAGGTGATACATTTTCTTGGCAGCTTCTTAAGAATTTGCGGAGTGACTAGATCAAAACCTGGAGCTTTTTTAGGACTAAGGAATTTAATTTCTTTTGCTATTTCTCTGGGTGACGTTGGTTTTATGGGTAGACACAATTGGATATCCTGTTCCAGTATGATGTTCAAGTTACCACTTTCGTCACTGCCTTCGTTTGGTTTGAACACTTGGGCCAGATGCATGGCAAACGCCTGAGATTTGTCTTGGTCAGTTCGTGCCCAGGACGACTGCCATCTTATGGGATAAGATGGTTGTTGGGGTCTGTTTATATGCTTGCAGGCTTTCCACAAAGAGTGCTGTCCAAGTTCTGATGGAGAAAGTAATTCAAGTGTACTTTTTATATTCTCATTCCTGCATTTCCTAAGGCACAACCTTAAATCTTTAATTGCTTTATTGAGCAAACTTTTGTCAGAGCAGTGACGCGACTGCTGCCAATTTCTACGGAGACGCCGTTTTTCCGCTATTTTATTTTGGATTTCCATAGACTGGGTTGATGTAGGGTTCAGTACTAAATTTGTCGAAGGGGTATTTTCCCATGCTGCTACCTGAATAAGGTTTGTAATATATTTGCATGCTCTTTCTATATCTTCTTGTGATTTGAGTGGGATTCGAAGGTTGATGTGACTATCAATATATGAACGAAAACCATCCCAGTCTGTTTTCTCGTTATGGAGGAACATAGGTCTTTCACGTACTGCAACGGTAGAATGCACCGTTAGGATAATTGGAGTGTGGTCCGACGTTCCATCTAGGCTGGGTTCAATGTCAGTGAAAACATGACTTAGGCCCTGGATGACAAAGAAGTCCAACAGATCTGGTAATTTATTTGGATTAGTCGGCCAGTAAGTAGGCTTCCCAGTAGATAGTGGATGGTACTTGTAATGATCAATACACTTTTTTAATTGTCTGCCCCGGGTAACAGTGAGTCTAGAGCCCCAGAATGTGTGTTTGGCATTCCAGTCACCACCGGCTATGAATCTATTGCCTAGAGTTTTGAAATAATCTGCGAACATATTGTCAGTGATAATATGCTTAGGTGGACAATAGATCGCTGAAAGAACAATGGGCCCTGTTCGATCTTTAAGTCTGATACTAGTGGCCTGTAAATGGTTACTTGAGTAAGGTTCCAGTAGGCAATGTTTCAGTTTACATTTTATTACTAGAGCTGACCCAGCGTGAGCGCCGCCATCTGGATGGGGAGTGTGGTAGACTTGATATCCTTTCAGATGGAAAGAACTCCTGTTTGTGCAATGCGATTCAGATACCAAAACCACATCCAGTTTGTTGTAGGTAATAAAGGCTTCAAGTTCGTTTATGTTGGGTGATAGACCGTTAATGTTCCAGGCTGCAACCCTAAGCGATGCCATTTTATTTTGCAAGTTTAGGAATGATTGTGGTAAGGAGATTCAGCAACGTGCTGATTTGTTGTAAGAGCAGATCAATCTTCTCAGTTTGTTTGATTAGTATCAGTTCAACTGTACTAGTTTGTTGACTGTGATTGTTATCACTAGAGGAATTTGGTTGTTGGCCTTTAGTATTTTTCGTTACTTCTGCGTATGAGATATTAGCTGATGTCTTTGGTGAGTTATACACACGACACTAACTGACGGACTAATTACATTTTTAATTTTTATACCCTGTCATCATCCCTATTATACATTTTCTATGTCAACCCGAAACTTTTACATTGAATTTAAAATAAAATGACTTAAATATATCGTAGTCACTTTAGTTTAATCAATATTAACAAAGTTATTGTATTAACAGGATTCGTCTACTCTAACTGAAATACAATTTTGTAAGCTACATATTACAAATGGCAAGCTGTACTTGCTGCTGATGAAGCGATAGAGGTATGTGAGAATCGTAGCATTGGCGTTCCATAATATCGGCCTACCCCCCATGGGAGACAAGCGTGAGGTTATGTGTGTATGTAAGTATGGATGGAAATAGAATGATAATAAAGACGACGAGAATGTGTTACCTTTACTGGAGTCCCCAATCCTTCAAGTCTATCGCATGGCAACAGCGGCAATGTAGTGAAACGACAGTTGCTGTCTTTGACGGCACTCAGGCGCAATGGCATACGGTCTGCAGGGGAAGGCGTGCTTGATGGTGTGTACCGGACGTATAAAGGCGGTGCCTGAACAATTAAACATTTTTTTTTATTCCTTTACACCTTTAAGCAGTGTAGGTAGATTTTCTCTAGGTCACTAGGGTCTTATTAAACGTTAAAGCCTAAATTAAACATGAGCTTATAGCAATTGAATACACTGAACCTCATTCTGTAATCGAGAAATTATGAAAGCCATAAACCCAATAATTCAATCAGATTCCATCATCAAACCTGAAACCTGTAGCAGCGTTTATACGTGAAAAATTATTTCTATGCAATCATAAGAAAGCGTGTCGCCTCCCTGATGCAGCGGGTGCGGGGCAGCGCCAACAGTCTTCTGATGACCGTAGCGGATAGGACTGATGGCCTTATGCTAAAACACTGGACGAAGACACAAGTGTTGTCTACATACCGTGCCTAGAAGTAGTGAAAGTCGTTTGTATTGTTACTGTATTATCATTATATTACCTAAGACAAATTATTTTAATTTTATATGATAAGGTTTGATGTACTAATACTAGTTTATAAGTTGTATATGTCTTTACTAACCATAATAATATGGATTGTATTATCTGAATAAATAAATAAATTGAATTGAAAAATGTAACTATGCAATGCGTTGGAGTTCAGAGATGCTCGTGAGCAGCACACGTGCAGCGCATCGTCTAGACGGGAACGCACCATTAGAATAGGATTCATTTACCTTGTTAAGATTTTTAGGTCAACTGATATAGAGTTCTAGTAACTATAGTAGAACTTTATATCAGTTTACCTAACCCATATATAACAGTATTTAGAAAGCCACTCTATATCCAGAAATTATGTACGGCATGAGTCTTAATTTATGTACCCAAGTAGTTGGATAATGGGATCAATTAATAGATATCCAATACTCATTACGAGTGCAGTTAGTACAATGGTCCAATGTAAACCTAGATATCGCCCCATGATTATCTACAGCTTATAGTAAGCACTACACAGTGCTAAGAGATTGTCAACATGTCTATTTACATTGGTCTTAATGATAATTCCTTATGTTTTGATTGCGTAATTCTAATTATCAAACCATCCTTGCCGGACGTTATAAAACACGATGATAAAGCCATCTGACTGCACGGTTGGTGCGGTGGCTGGGCAACCGGCTGCCGTGCAACGTGTCGCGGGTTCGATTCCCGCACGGAACAACACTTTGTGTGATCCACAAATTGTTGTTTCGGGTCTGGGTGTCATTGTGTATGTGAACTTGTATGTTTGTAAACGCACCCACGACACAGGAGAAAATCCTAGTGTGGGGCAACGATTTAAAAAAAAAAAAAAAAATCTACCGTGTGCACTGGTAAATAATTTTAGAAATTTTTTAAATACAAAATTTTAGAAATGCCGATGTTTGCGGACAATGTTATAGGTGTTAATGAGAAAAAATTGTGGAGAGTTGTGCATAAGAACTAATTAATTTGCTCTTTAATATTTATAAAATATTAATTTTGTAAAAAAATCTTCGAAAACGACTTTCTTCAAGACTAACATAAAAACTGCTTTAAAGTGCAATAATATTAAACTCACGTTAGGATCTCCGTAATTCTCAGCCCTTAGTAGGAATTCATGGCCGTATTTCATTTTGCTTCCACGATCTTTTTCATTTTTTGCGCTGTAAAGAAAACTTTATAAAAGACTGCTCGTGAAAATAAATAAAACTACTACTACACTAAGTATTAGTTTAATAATTACATTTACGTACACAAATTAATAATTAAATTTATTTATACGATTTTGGAAACAATAGCTTTTTCATAAAAAACTATTTCATATACTAAACGAATCTATAGAGGTATATAGCAAAGTTCTAGATTTTTTTATCTTATTGACAATTTATTCTACTACATGCACCTTTTTTAAAATGTTTTCATGGTTTTGTATCGGATGAAACCTCCGAAAATAAATTCAAAATTCTCTCAAACCTGATAATAACGAATGTGTTCCGACAACAAGGTGTGGTAATAGGCGAAAGGGTCATAAGACAGCCATCAGTTATGTTCTGCATGTAGTCCACCTGACGATCCATCACAAGAATGGACATTGCTAAGCCATGTTGTTTCTTACCACCCACCATCTTCGATGATGCTATTAATATTAGAAGGAATATACACACAATAAACACCATAAAAATAGCCAACTTATACTATCTCATTGGTCGAGTATTCAACAAAGGATTTCCCGGGCTTTTTTGGTTCTCTGTAATACCATTGAATCAGGAACCGTACCTGGGGGATGGCAATAAGCTCTCCCCCTACTATAAGGAATTTATAACTAGCGAAAATTTGATGTTACACATAATTGTCGACCCTTTTGAGAAATAAAACTCCTATGTTAATTAAATAGCAAACAGAATATTAGCACCTTGTAGGTACTAAACCGGCACGACAGCAACAAGTCGACTGTTTAAAAGACTATTCTTTTGTCCAGCTGATATATTTTTTATGGAATAGGCTTGATCACCTTGATAATAAATAATCAGCGTCACTCATAGATACCCGCGACACCAGAGAAGAGTTACAAGTTGCGTTGCCGCCCTTTTTGGGGCTTAGAGCAGAATTGGGCCACCATTAATGTGCGGCCACTCGACCAATGAGATAGCATCTAATAGCGTTGGTATCTATGATGTATGTATGTTGGTAGGAAGGTAGAGCTTTATTATGTACCTGGCATATCCGATGCAACTACTTGCACATTAAATCCATAGAGCACGTAAGTTCCACTTATCGCCAAAGGCCTCTGGAATTTAAAAGAATATCGTTTTTTTTAGTTGGCAAAGCAAAAGCAAATCAGCCAGACGTTTTACTGTATAGATAAGTACCAATACACAAGATCTGATGTTTACGGGACAGCCCTAGATCCCTAAAAGTAATAAATTATTTAAAGTTAAATAAACTTACTTACCTCACTCAATAAATTGCTGAATAATGTTCTAGATCGCTGAAGTAACAGTTCACGTCGGTCGCGTTTTCTTAAAAATAGCTTAAATTCGTACTGCAAGAAATAAAATAAGATTTCATAGTATGTATTTAGTTACCCCCACTGCTCCCATTGAACTTCTAACAGATGACAGCATGGTTGAATATGTACCTACTTACATCTCTGCCTACCTCCTCGAGGAACCAAAGATATTACATTATGTACGTATATAAATATGAGACATGTCCTGGAAAATCTTTATACTTATGTCCACGTCGATATGTACCTACGTAAAACAAAGAAAGGCAGTACCACATTTTGGGTATCTTCTTAAATAACCTGTTTACCATCTCATGGCCTTTAATTATGATGTGTCGGTCTATTGAAAAAAGAATTGTATTTGTAAAAATATACCAAATTGAAACATTTCAATACCTCATTTTTAAGTCTTTCTTCGCTCCAATTTCCAATAAGAACGGAATTGTTATAAGTCATGATTTCAATAAACACCAAAGTTCTTTCATATGGAGGTAAATATTACGTGGATTTTCTATTTTATTAGTGCTTTAATTAAAGATTTTGTAATGTCAACAAAAACTCGTTCATGAACAAATATGTCAGTCAGTTATTCGTCAATAATTTTTTCGTGTGCTAAAAATCCTCATACTCGAATCATGAATAATAAAAAGTAGGTCGAAAAAATTGAAACTTTGACTTGCAGAATTTAAAAAAATAATGTAATGTCAAAAGTTCAAAAGTTCATCACTTGTTCAGATTAAAGTTTTATTTCAACCAATGTGTTTTTAAATTCTACATGTACATCTTCAGAATTTTTACAACCTCAATATAAATTCAGTGGGTATCGGTTTGTTTTAAAAAGAATCCAAATTTTTCTGACACTAAATACATAAAAATGGAGCGAAAAAATATATTTCATTTCATGTTATTAATTTGTCTTTGCGAATTTAAATATGCCGACTGCATCAAACCAGCATCTCTAGAGAATACTTTCAATAAAGGAGTGATGGCCTACTCTACAGAGAGATGGTCGTTGTGCATTGAAAAATTTGAAGAAGCTTTGCATCTCTACAAACTATACAAGTCAATTCTAGTTAACTGTAGATTGAAATGTAACACTGAAACTTATGAATGCCAAATCAAAGACGATATTGCTGATCTGAAGATTTATGAAAAATATTTCAATAAAAGGAACTGTCTTAACATTTGTCAGGATAAAGAATTTAAAAATTTGAATCTTAACAGAAGCCTTGAAGATTCTGTACTCCATGATATGCAGGCCAAGAAACCTTACGAATATCTTCATATATGCTATTTTCAACAAAGGATGTTCCAGAAAGCTGCTTCGGCTGCCTACACATACTTAGTTGCCAACCCTAATGATGACACCATGCAAGATAATATGCACTATTATATAGCACAGCCAGAAATAGACCCTAAGGAGATAGTTGATATGGAAAGCGAGGACTATGTTGTTATGTACAATTTAGGTAAGAAATCCTACAAACAGAATAACTGGGAAGAAACAGTAGCTAGCATGGAAGAAGTTATAAAAGACTATTTGGCTTTTGAAAGCAATTGTCGTGTAGAATGTGAGCGGCAACCGGGACAAGAATGGTCCTCAGAATTTGTAATAACAATGTCAAACAATATGGCGTCTCTTTTACACTGCCACCAACAATGCCAAGATAAACTGAAGTTCCTTAAATATAACTCTGGAGTAGAGTTTATTGCAGATGTACTTAATTATATACAAGTAGCATATTTCCACCTTGAAAAATTCAATGAAGCTGCAGAGGCTGTTGCAAGTTATTTGGTTCTGATGCCTGAGGATGAGGATATGTTGGAAAATGTCAAATTTTATAGAAAACGTGTCGATGAAAAAGCTTTTGTTCCCCGAGCTGAAATAGTGTACTATTTGAAACGTGATACATATGAGAAGAATCTTCTTTTATTTTTTCATCAAGGAAAGAAGCAGGATATTGACTTTGACGCTATTCTCAAAACTTATAATTTTTTAAAATAAGCCTTCCTGATTTGCTATTTACTTATGTATAACAATTTATACTTGTGTTTTTATGTTCCTAGACTCTAATTTAAATTTATTGAAGGTAATGCTACTAAGTTGTAATTCTAATGTACTCAAAAGTACTTAAGTACAAAAAAAAAGTAAAAAAAATATCGAATAAAACTAATATAATAACTACTGACCAGTGCCATAACAGTTTGCTGTTGTAAAACCAAAGATTTTATGTTTTTTTATTAAATTTTTATTATGTAAAATCTTTTTAGACTCTGAATTCCCTAGGTATTTTCTATCCTTGGTTACCTTGGTTACCTTACTTTTAACTTCAAGCTTTGAATGACTATTTTCATAAAGAATCAGTTTTTTTAGCACAATTTACTAACTTGAGCTCTAGATAGTTGTAGAAGTATAGTTATAATAGTCTAGTAGTCCAGTTGTATCATCCACAAAATACATAAAAAAGTAGGTACTAGATACCTAATAAAATCGACGCATGCAACCCAGTCCCGCGCTCCTACTCCTACGCATATTTTTATCATTGTTTACACGATAACTCAGCAGAGTATATAAACTTCCAGTAGTAGAGTACCTATGAAACCCGTGCAGCATACAGCGCGTCGCGTTCTCCTCTTACTTTAATTAAGGAACCGTTAAACTACCGCAGATGTGGCCCAGTAAGGCTGATGCCCGACTCGAAGCTACGCACATTCTAACGGGTTACCGAGAGGCTCCGGCTCAAAGCACGCGGTGGTTTTTGATTATTAAGAGTTAGTCTCCGCCTTACCCAAGGCGGGGAAATTCATTGGATAATTTACCCCCATAAAAAATGGTGGTAATTATAAAACTATTGCTTATCTATCTATCCTATCCAGAATGGTCAAAAACCCATAGGCGACTAGCCTTACCATTTGGGAAACTTTCATATCATAATCATACCTCGGACATTTATTATTGTTGGGTAGGTAGGTGCAATAGAAGCGTTGGGTTTTAAAAAAAATATAATGTTCACGTAGGAGCCAGGATTCGGCATGAATTTGCCGAAGTGTTATCACGGTCCATCAGAGGCCCAATACTCCCCTCTCCCCCAAAGCCAGCAACACACTGGTAATTTTCCTAGTATTGTGTACGTTAATTTATAAAGGTGTAATTTTAAATTATAGAAGGTGGTGCCATCTAGTAGGTAACAGCTCAACTATTTATAGCGATAAGTTTTTTAAGCCCCTAACTTTTGCATGTTTCAAGTTTTATACCTTCCACCATCTCGTAGCGATAATAGTACATTATACATTCCACTACTGTTACTGAACAGCTAAATTACCATGATCCTGTTACAAAGTTTGCCGTATTTCCCACACTAGCGGCCTAGCTAGTTATACCTAGCCGGTTTGGAGGTTGCAGTTGTAGAGGTTCAAGTCCATAAGAGAGCACTGCAAAGCAAGCAGTATGAAAATACATAGTTTTATTTATTAGCTGTTTTATCTTACGTGGGATTAAACACCTTTGTCGAAGTTAAAATGGGAGGGAAAAGATCGAACCAAGTTCCACTAAGGTGAAATTCATCAATATACTAAGTGAAAATTTCTGCACATAATGTTACCTAATATTTTTAAATTAGGTTTTATTTTCATCAATTTTGACAATAAAAGGTAAGAAGTAATATTTATATAGTCTACTATAATAAGAACATGGAAAAAGAAACGTTTTTGAACGAAAGAGGTGTGGCTCGCAAAGAAAATATGAATGTATGATAGCCACAATGATGGCAATACTAGCATTTAACATGCCTAAAGGGTTTTTAGGAACTTTCGTTAGTAATTAAACCTGCTTATATCTTTCTGAAGTTGCAAAAGCTATTGGTCAAAACTTTAATTTCTAGGAAAAAAAGAAAATTAACTTGCTCTGCCATTTGAGCGTATTATTTTGTACAGGCTATAAATCGATTTACGCATTATTATTATTTTTTTGAAATAGACCGTACGCGATGATTTGGTGCAGACAAAAATTTGGTTAATTGTAATATTTTAGCTACATAATTTAAAAACAGCATTCCGGTACACCGGTAAGGGCAAATCATTAAGCCATGTAAAATCTCTTAATTAGCTAGTTCTTGTGCGAGTTAGTAGGTACAGTCACTGGCAACATAATGGGCCTGGCGCTGGCACTAATATGCCCAATAAATAAATTTCATGTCTATTATCTTGAAATACCATAGTTAACGATACCTTATAGCTTTATTTTAAGAAGTAGCTTAACTTATTATTACTCTTTCTTGTATAATTTGCTTATTAAAGTGGTTTTCGGTTTCACAAACGAATTTTTGACACACTGGCAACACAAAATCTTTTTTGCAGCTGGCGATACTTCCTCTAGTCTAATATGCGACAGAGGGCGTCCGTCTTTTTTTTCTGTCAAGTAAAAATGGTCAGCTGTCGGTCGTAATTTTGAAATTATACGAATTTCACGTTCAGAGGTATGTTTTTCAGCGATATAATTATGTAATTTCAGTGTATCTCTAAACACGTCCATTAGGCGCGTAATTTAAAAATTGACTAATACTGACACCTGCATGCATGAGGTAGGTATTGCCATGTTTGAGTCGTACAGTTCTGCGCAGGTTTATGTACTCCCGAATGTCAATACTACATCATGAAGAAAGCAGTAACTATGATAAATTCATATTAAACACATCTGCTTCAAAATTATTATGATTTTACCATTGCTTTCTTTTGTTTTTATTGATTAGTGATTGTATCACAGTTCTATTTTAGTTGCAGTAATATAAGTACTCTGGGCACCTAATACTATACCTACAACATACTCAAGTTTTGAGATGTAGGTACTGTACTATAATATACTTATAGATCTATTAAACTAGAAGTTGAATTGGACTAAGTTATTAGAATACTTACAAGGTATAAATTATTAATTTTACAAACTTACATTGTTTGAGAATAGTTAACTAAAACAATTGTTATCAGCCTTCACACAGACCTTTTAAGTATTATAGTTACAAAAATCTGGTACCTATTACAAAACAAAACAATATAACATAAAACCTCTATTCCCCGAACGATAAATCAGAGGTGCAGATATTGATTTACCAGGTATTTCATTAGTTTATGTTACAGAGGGTGAACATATTCCTAATACTGGTAATATAATATTTATTAGTAGTAGTGTTGAGCGATGAATTATTAAACATTTTGTTCTGTTTCAGATACCGAAACCATGGAGAATATGAATGATAAATGGAGTGTTAAAAATCTCTTGTTTACAAAGGCTTTGCCAAATTATGTTATACCAGTGCCAGTGAATGGCCATAAAGTCTACTCGTGTACCGACTGCGGTGACAAGTAAGTAACTTATTACAAACTTTTTATTCATCTTTGAAATCTTGAAATGTTGCACCTTTGAAATCTTTTATCTTATTGATAGTTATAATTAATGTAAAAAAATGAAATGTAAATAAATGAAAAAAATAATGTTAAACAAGTACCTATATAACAAATCATAACATTTTATAATTAACCATACCTACATGGAATAATGTTACTATAATATATCGTAAAAAGATTGTATTTAACAAGTAATATGTTAATAAACAGGAAAATAATAATAAATTGAAAATAAAAAACGTATTTTTTATTGCACCCTAATTTTAATTTTACTTGCATTGATTGACATCCAATAGGCTGCCCATTATGAACAACTACTCATTATGATTAGTATTCTTAGACCCTAATAGGTAATTAGGTACTTGCAGACTACTCTGTCGTTGTATGAAAATTCTCTGCGAATTCTGCGATCACGCCGCTACTTACCAATTTCTACAGTTTACAGTTGCGTTCATTTGTCCATACAGTCAAAGTGGCCTTTGTCAAGCTCTAAGGAAAAACCAGGGCCCTTTTTTGTACTCTGGCATAAACATTACCATGCCATTGTTTATTTAAAACATAAAAGCTATTTTTTTTCTCAATATATGGATGGTATCATCATTTAGAAAGTAAGAACACAGTCACTCTTACTCTTTTATATAAGTCTTTATAATTATACATACCATAAGTACGTAGGCAAGTGCTGTAGGTAGCTGTATGCACCTATAATATCATGTTTATTTTGGAATTCACCTTTTATTATTTCTTCCACAGATTCATCTTCGAGTCCAGTTTAAATGATCACGTCACACGCAAGTCTGTTAACATCACATACGTGTGTCGCCATTGTAATCAAACGATAACGTTTTATAACAGATGTAACTTACTGTTCCATATAAGATCTCACGTTTTTAGAACTGCGACTATCAACGTCACTGACTTAAACGTAGAGCCTTTGCCGTTAAGTCTTTTCAACATTAAGATTGCAATACCAGCAAACAAGCCAACACAAAGCAACCAACCCATTCCAACCAATCAAGTAACACAAATCAACAAACTAACAATAATCGGCCAAATACCACCAGACAATGATTGTATAATAACTGCAGAGAGTTCGCCCAAAAACCCAGCAGAGAATAGGGATATTTATACCCAAGTGATTTGTTTAGAGTGTAAAGAAAACCTATCTAATTCACCAGCATCTGCCGCTAAAGATCGGGCCAGTCACTATATGCAGTTTTCCAACCAGGTTTATTCTTGCCCTGTGTGTTTATTTGCACTGCCAACGACATGCGCTCTCAAAGCACATTTAAGATTACATTTAAAATGCCCCCTTTATTGCTGCCCTGAATGTGGTTCAGCCCTTGGCAATAAAAATATTAATTATCCTTACAATCACGACTGTGAGGGTTTTAAAATGATGAGAGCAACCGCCAGACTAAAATGTGGCTCGGCTAACTGTCGCATTTGTTTCCATCCCAACGATTTAAGAGAACACATGAAAAGTCTTCACATGAAAAAAGTTTTCAAGTGTCCATTTTGCGTTGTTGCTTGTTTCAGTGAAATGAGTATGCAAAGCCATTTCAAGACTCATAAAATGGACAATATAAAACCACTCATATTCTACAAGTGCGAATTATGTCCAGGAAAATTTGTGTTGCAGAGTCGTATAGAGAGTCACATAAAAAGTCACAAAGTTTTCGTCTTCTATCCATGTTGGCCATGTGGTTCAATCTTTAAAGACGTATCCCTTCTACTGTTGCATTTCCTAGAAAAACACAATAAAAATAGTACGGTACAAAATGCAGTGAAATATGTGCTGTCGGAAATTGAGTCTTTAAAAGACACAAGTAAGCCGAAAAGAGTATACCGCGTCGTAAAAAGGTGTGATCAATGTCAGAGAAGTTTCACCTATAGATGTCAGTATAGCGAAATACATAACCTGCCCAATGAATGCCCCTACAAATGTACTTCCACATTTGAATGTTCCACGGAATTGGATGACGCTCCAGATACGACTACTCTGAGCAAAATGAGAAACACTGTGTTGTGTCATTTGTGTAATGCGAATATTATAGATGATCCATATGAAATAAAAAAGCATTATTCTTCACTACATAAAACAGAAAAATGTTTGGATGCCAAAATTGTCCTCACCAGAATTGATGTAAATAAATACCGAACTCAAAGTACCAATTTGACCAAACGTAAAATTAAAAAAACTATTGGCAAGAAAGTATTTAAAAGAAGAGGGAAACGCCAACAAATTAAAATTCTAAGGGATCCTCTTGAAATTAACAGTGATCAGTCAAATATAGATTCCCATGTCGAGACGATCACCTGTGACACACCTCCTGCTTCTTTGTGTTACATCTGCAAAATATGTGGTAGTAATTTTGAGCAAAAAGAATTATTAGAAAAACATTTGATAACACATAGAGACTCGTGCATGGCTTATCAATGTATGGAATGTGGACAAAGTTTTGTTGTCAAGCCGTCATTTTCGAAGCACTTACTGCTTGAACATAGTATCTCAGATAGTGAAACGTATATAAAAGAAAAACATTGTTATAATGAAAATGCTCTAATCAAATACCAAAGTAGTGAAATCATTTCTAACGAACCTCTACGCGAAAATCAATGTAACATTTGTAGAGAGGACTTTGAGGAGCCGGAAGATTTAGCCAAGCATTATAGAGTTCACGGTATGGCTTTTTTGATGAAAAACAATCAAAGTAAATGAAATAAAATATTATTTTACTTCAGTCAGTAAAAACAGTTAAGTAGTTAGTTGAAGCCAAAAAATTTAAGTTCTTTTCGTAATCTTCTGCAGTGCAGAATTGTTATCTAGTAATTTGTTATTTTATAGGTATAGTTTAATTTTGTCTCATTATCACTATGTAAAATAGTTTTTAAACGTTTTTAGTTATAAAATAAGTTAAACAGACTACATTATTTTAAGAATAGACGCTAAGTTGTAACGTTGTTACTTTTACTATACTTAACTATTAAAAAATATAACAAAACGCCTTTTTAATTAGATAGGACCTGTATTTGTATTATTAATTTGTATTTGTATTACTAATTTGACTGCGTCGTGAATTCGGATTGTTTAAGATTCGATTACTTACGCACTGGATTAATATGCTCAATGTTCTCAGTACTCAGTAGGTCCTGATCAGTAGGTAGTGAGCCCTGATCAACCTGGTGTTAAGAATAAGCCCACTAGCAATTAAGTTGACATGAATACCACCAAAGGCTCTATACAATAAAAATATGTGTCTATGGTGTGTCCTTATGCAATTTTCTGTTGTCTATATACATACATATATAAAAATGAAACCCGTTTCCCGTTGTCACGCCATAACTTGAGAACGGCTAGACCGCTAGGGCTGATCTTATTTTTGTTGTGTTTGTTATTGTCAGGAGAAGGTTCTTAAGACAGAAAAAATCCTGAAAATCCAACGGGAACTGGAGAAAACGGGATTGCGCGTACGAAGTCGCGGACAGACGCAAGTGTACAATGAATAAGACGCAATTAAGGCAATAACTATAGGTGTTTTAAATTGTAGTTGCCAGTAATCAATTAACTGATATTATTAAGCTATTGGTGTGGACTACTTGTAAGCAAACGACAAACGTGTTGTGTTTAATGACTGAGTATGTTTAATGTAACTATCGTTAGCACGTTAAATTTTAAGATATAATAATTTAATATTGTAACATAATAAATAAACTATATTCAGCTGCAATCAGTCTTTATTAATCGTCTACAATATGAATAAATATGAAGAAAATCTTATGCTCTATTTTACAATACACGGAAACATAGGTTTATACCGTGTTTTGGTGTATACCATTATTGCAAATGCAGTTTGTTATGGAATAATCACGGATCTTAAACCTAGAATACCTATCTAACTTAGCATTCAGAAGAAGAAAGAGAAACCTCTACACTACATCCACGTTAAAAAAATATTATTACCATTCGCGTTATCTTAATGCAACAGTACAAGAAGTATATAGAAAATGTAGAAAACAAATGGACATTTAACCTTACATAAATTACCTAATCTAGCAAAATCTGTAACTTGCGTGTCGCAAACACCAATGCCTTAAAGGTATTTTTTTTTTGTTTTTTTTTTAGTATTTTATAAATTCAAACTAAAACTATTATTTATACATGAATTTTCATTTGTCAAGGAGATCAACTTTCTGCTTCGTTCCGAAGTAATAAGGACTTACGATTAAGTCAGTTCGTTGATATCGAAATCAAGAAACTTATAGACTTATCGATGGTTGTTATACACTAACAATAAAAAAAAATGATATAACATGCACACACTAGTAGGTACTAAATAAATTATATAATATGCTTTATTAACTACATTACGATTATACTCTTACATGGCTACAAAAATGAGAATTTCAATGTGTAGGTACAAAAACCTTTATGTTGTGACAGATAGTTCATACAAATTACGTTCTTAAGTACCAGACTACCAGATAGATTAAAGAATGTACCTAATTTGTATGAACTATCTGCCACATTAGTGTTTATATCGCTTTCAGCGCTTGATACACGTACGTGTAACTGTCATGTCTGATGTCCTCTCAAGTCCTCTGAAAACTAATAAACAGAAAGTGGACTATAATTGTTTATTGTTACAATATAATTTTCAAACTACCCACATACAATAAATAAAAGTAGTACACATTTTTTAATTATTATCACAACAAAAATATACAATTACGACATCTAAAAATTGTATGTAATTCAATCGATTCACTGCCACCAAGACATAATTTTAACGAAATAATGGAAAAATAAATATGTGTTTTTGTATGTATATCTGAATTATTTTATGGCATCATATTATGGAAATGACTAATATTTCAAATTAAATGTTGTCTTTTCACCTATCCATAATGAGGACAATCTCAATTCTATCGTCAATCAATGACTTGTGTCAATCGTTTGTCTTTATCCTTTTATCTGTTGAAGCACCGGCTCCCGGTATAAAACACATTATACCCGCAACTTTTAACATACAAGAGGTTAAATTGAATTTAAATAAAAAAAATATATTTAATGTGGAAACGTTGACCATTTCACAACTATTGAAGTATTAGCGTTATAAATACCTAAAATGAAGAAAGACTAGAAAATGAGTTTGATTGAATCTGGTCAATTATCTAGTCTAGATGTAAGACCCTACACTACAAATAAGATTAGTTTATACCTGTCAGCATTATTGAGATTCTACTGAATTTCTTTAATATTTTTTATCAGGATTGGTTTGCATGATATCGCATTTTGAAAATAATTTAGATAATGCAGAATGTTTAAATATTTCACCTTTTAGGTGGTATAAGCTAAAAATTATCAAACCCACCTCGACCGAGGTGTATCTCACTTAAATGTAGAATGAAGAGGCTTCATTTTATATCAAAAATGCATTCCACACAAACTAATTACACACATCATCGATGATATTTATAACCATTTTGTTTATGCAGTAATTCACCCATTATTTTAACAACACAAGACAGTTTTACTTGAGCTGTTATATTTAAACATCCACTTTTTAAATGAATGCATACATATTTAATACTGCACTGGCAAAATAAAAACATTGTTTCCAAATAAATATTAGTCGTTTTAATCGCTTTAACAATTAAATTTACTTACGAAATAACATATATTTTTTTTACATACATATATAAAAAAATTAAAGTCTACAGACCATTTTGGTTCCGTTCATCATCATCGTCATCAACAGCCTATAAGTGGCCACTGCTGATCAAAGGCCTCTCCTCGTAAGGAGAAGGTTCGAGCATTAATCACCACGCTTACTCAATGCGGGTTGGCGATTTCAAACTTATAATTAGAAATTATAAGCCCGGGTTTCCTCACGATGTTTTCCTTCACCGTTTGTCAGTGGTGTCTGGATAATCTTAGAAAGTACATATAACTCGGAAAAAGTCACATTGGTACTTGCCGTTGGTAGGTTTCGAACCCGCACTCTTATGCATTAGAAGAGGGCGTCTTAAACCTCCTGGCCACTATGACATTAGTTAAAATAGAAAAACTATTTTTTTTAACTTCATCTCAATTTATCTATGTTTCTAGTCAGTCTGAGCGGCTCGCTCGGTTAATTTCTTGACTCTAATGCTTGGCTGGTTTATGCGAGAAATGATTGGAGATTTTTAATTTTACAAATGGATTGTCCCGTGGTCCTGATTAAAACGACCAATATTTAATCCTGTATATGCTATTGCGAACAAAAATCATGAAATATATTGGCTTATGTTCCTTGGCTTAAATAAAGTGGATGATATACATTGGGTCCTACTAACTCGTGTCTGCAAGTGGGGCATTTTGGGTCATGGTTAAGATATCTACGTATACATTCTATGCAAAACACATGCCCACAAGTTGTTGAAGCCATTGGTTCGTCCCCTAACTCCTCCCAACATATGGGACAACTCCCAAATGTGGTTTCTTTTGGTAAATTGTTACACACTGTACACTGAAACAAAGAAATATAATTGATTATTATAATACTTGCCTATTTTGCCCGAAGGGTTGTTACTAGATAGACACCGAATACAAAAATGTGATTAACACATTAAACGCCATGGTGGTCACCGGTGACCGATGTTAGCGGAGGAATTGCCTTCAACAGATTTCTATTGGCAGTCAAAACCTTAGAAAAAATTGTCTGCCGTGTTCATTGTTTACGCATCACGCAAAACCTACTGATCCGATTACGATGATTTGTTATGTTTAAGATACTTTAACTAGCTGACCCGGCGAACTCCATACCGCCTAAATTTACTTTTTTACCTTTGCAACCTTCCCTGGACTTCCACGAACACTTCAATACCAAAATTAGCCAAATTGGTTCAGTCGTTCTCGAGTTTTAGCGAGACTACCGAACGGCAATTCATTTTTATTTATATAGATAGATAGATAGATAGCTATCCAGTGCATCACACTGGATACTTTTTCACGTTTTTATAAATGTGAAAATTTGTGTGTTTGTGTATGTTTGTTTCTCAGTCACATCTAAACTGCTGAAGGGACCAGGATGAACTTTAGAACAGGTAGAATATTCTAGAGTAACACATTGATTACTTTTTACCCCCGGGGAACGGAACAGACAGAAGCTAGCCATATATAATTTTATTGTACTCATTTATAGGGCGCCAGGGGTACAGCATTAATTGTTGTTTACTTAAAATAATTATTTTGAGCACCACTTAACTAAGTAATAATAATCAAGTGAATATAAACTTTCTCTTACCTTCTCTCTCTTATCCCTCATTGCACGTAATCTTTCTCTCACGGCTCGTTTTATATTTTTTGCTTTCTCCTTGTCCATTTCTTGTTCTAGCCTTTTACTTGCTTCTTCCAAATTTTTTAGTCTTTCCAATCTTAGCGCATGCTGTATCCCTCTTTTACTTACAGATTTTCTTAGTTTAGCCGCTCTCTCCTTTGGATTTTTATAAATTTCTAGGTTCATAAGTTCTTCCATTGTATTTTCTTCTCCAACTGCAAAATAAGTTGAAATGTCAGTAAAAAGTATAGTATTAGTGATTTTGTAGTTTCTAATTTCAAACTTATGCTATATTATATAAAGCTAAAGAGTTTGTTTAACCACACTAATCTCTGGAACAACTGGTCTGATTTGAAAATTTATTTCTGTGTTAGTTAGTTGATTTATTAAGAAAGTACATAGGCTATAAAACATTACACTACAATCAATAGAAGCCGAGGAGAGAGGGTGAAACTGCACGGGAGTTGCTAGTATTTTTATAAACAAAATGTTCTAACACTGGCAAAAAAAACTATTGTTCATTCACTTCTGCTTTACAAAAAACAAGTTAATAGAAGTAGACATGCACAACATAAATTTTTGAAATAAATTCAAACTATTTTCATAAATAATGATTTCATTATAAAACATTAACTTATACAAGATTTTGATAATTATTATGTAGGTAACAATTAAACAGATGGATTGGTAAATAAAATATTTTTTTCTTAAATCTATACATATAACTGTTTAAACACAATACACATACATGCCAGTTCAGTGATTTGGTAGTTTTGACTGGAATGTTTTTCAGAAGTGTTGAAAATTGTCAATTTTCAGCCTTATTAATTGTGATGTGATTTTGCACATTCATTACAAGCATTTTCGATTAAAAATTATGGCTATGAACAATTGCATGTAATGGTTGTGGCCAAGACGAAATGGCCTATATGAACTTTGAAAGTGTAATCATAATCATAAGTATGAGCACTAGGCTTATAAAGAATTAAACTATAAAAACTTTAACTCGATGTGGTCTGGAAATTAATCGTCCTTCTAAATGCTCACTGAGATGTACTTTGCGGTGCTTTGGCACCAAATCTGCTTATTTTATAAAAAAGCTGTATAGACAAAAATTGTAGAAAACAGTACTTAAATAGTTTAATTTTGTACACAATGTTTTTCGTAAGATACAAAGGAAGAGATATTAAAAAATACTGTTATTGCTCACCATTTTTTCAAGATTGCAAAATGGAAATTGGAAAAAGTACAATAAAAATCCACAAAATTGCCAAATTTCAACACTCCCGGAAAACTTTCGACATAAACCCCATATTTCCACCGTAATTACACAATTAGCACTGCTAGACAGCAGTGGTGGTCTTCCAACTATTGATGATGGTGATGGTTTACTGCAGCCGCCATTACTATATCCAAGTATACTTAATGAATATTTAATATGAGGGTTATACGAAAAATTTACCACTTCAGCAAACATATTACCTTTATACTAGATCAAGGTGCATAATATTATAGATTAGAAGAACAAACTTAAGACATAAATGTTAGACCTATTATTACCATTTGATCCATTATGTATAGATAATTCAATTTAATTTTCACTTATTAATGTCTACCCACAAAACATGAAGTACATTAAGTACACAAGGCCATGACAATTAATATTATTCATAACTATCCTGGAAATACAGCTAAGTAAACTTACATTGAACGTTGTCGGATAGACTCCTATCATTATATATAGAGTCTTCCGAATCTCTATCTAATTCAATCACCTCATCTGGATTATGTTGGGTCTGTGATCCGTCCGTAAACGAGTCAGCAAGATTTGTGAGATCAATTACATCACTTATTGGATACGGGTCCATTTTTGCAATCTTCGATCAGGTGTAGAACCTAATCTCGTTGTATTTTATGTTTTACTTTTACACCTTTGTTTATGTGTGATCCTCCTCTTCATCCAATCCTCAATTCTTAACTTAGGTAGGTATAAAATTACAAATAATTTTGAAATCACCGAACTCAATTCAATTTCTTTGTGAATATAAATTTCACTTGTATTCACAATAGTAGGTAGGTAGATTCTCAAAAGTAGATCTAGCTACTGTTAGATTATCAAAGAATATAAATTAACAGAGAAAGATGGAGCCTGACAGCCACAGGCAACAACAGTTGGCAATGACAGTGACACTTTGAAAGTTTGATTATTTTGATTGACAAATTGACAGTGTAAGGGTAATACAGAAGTATATTCCGTTTCCGTTCCAATCATTAAAGAAATAAGAGGAATATGAACAACTAGCTTTTACCCGCGGTTTCGCTCGCGTCACAAAAGGATAAAAAATAGCCTATGTGACATATACCAATACACACAGCGCCATCTATACCAATACTTTTGTTTTTCCTCGGGAATATCATTTTTTTCCGGGATAAAAAGTACCCTATTATTTAATCCGGACTTCTAACTTTACGTCTGCAAAAATTCAAAGCAATCGGTTGAGTAGTTATGGCGTGAAGGTGGAACAAACAAACAAACAAACAAACTCACTTTCAGATTTATAATATTAGTAAGGAAGTAAGGAAGTAAGGATAAGGATAAGGATAAGGATAAGGATAAGGATTAGTAAGGACTTTCAGATTTATAATATTAGTAAGGATAGTAAGGAAGTAAGGATAAGGATAAGGATGGACCACGTACTTAGCGTGCCAAAATGGAAACAAATCAAAAAAGGCGTAGACCGCCCATTAGAGTGTAGTAACAAAACTAGCTGCACTCAATCGAATACATTTAAATCATTTTTCTTTTGACTCAACTTTTGTCGAAGGATATTTAAAATTACTCATATATATTAAAGCAGGAAATTGTTTTGCCGTTACAGCACAAAATAAATAGTATTACTGAGGAGATAGGTCAACTTTTCAGAGTGCTGCATTTCTAAATGAAGTACAGGTACAGAAAAGTAAAAGTACAAGTACGAAAAAAGTACGAAAAGTACAAGTACAGAAAACAAAAACTGTTAAAGGTCAATCCTCCGCTAGCGTCGGACATTGTTGCGGAGAACCTAACGGGTAACCGGGGCTCCGGCTCGACGTGCAGGAGAAGGAACGGGGTGGTTTTTAGTCAGTAAGAGTCTGACACTCCCTCCCACCTCAACCAGGTGGGAGCAGTCATTCGATGATTTTCCCCCCTTAAAAAAAAGCGTCGGACATTATTGTCTGACACGGCATCCAATGTGTTAAATGATTAAAAATAAATTATTAAAAACCCTCAAAGCATTAGCCACTTTTTGAGCGAGCACTTTTTGTTTTAAATCCTTCTTACAATCCTACTAATATTATAAATCAGAAAGTGAGTTTAATTGTTTGTTTGTTCCACTTTCAAGCCGTAACTACTGAACCGATTGCTTTGAAATTTTGCAGACGTAAAGTTAGAAATCCGGTTATTGCTTTTTATCCTTTTGTAATGCGAGCGAAGCCGCTGGTAAAAGCTAATAATGAATATTTACGTTTGATGGTTAGGGTTACGCGGTTAGGTATTCTAATTTCCACAAAAATAGAGAAAACGGGTTACGGTTTTTAATTCCACCAAATATACAGAAAATATGCAATGACAATACTGTCACAAGTAAAATAACTGTGAATGGACTGTAGGCGTTTTTTCTGATAAATACCGTAAACGGACAAATACTGAGTATGTGTTTATAGAAATATAGATAACAGCGTTAAAGAAATGACATCTACCAAATATCGAGAAACCTAAAAGTTATAATAATACTTGTTAAAACCATCCCAATACCTCTACAATGTACCATTTAGTGAATTTCTGCTCAGGGAACTAAAAAGACAAACTTGTCAATAAACGTTCTACCCATCAGTAGAGATAAGTAAAATATTTATTGTCTATATTCATTGATATTTCCTTTTTACTTTTACTTCCTTATCTATGGTCCCACTTATGATTTTGACTGATTTTGACGTGTGTGGTTTACTTCTGTTTTCTGCAAAAATAATTTTATTACCATTGACCAGAATTTGAACTAGAATATTATAATGAAAAACATATATTGAATGCTGAACTTGTAACCTTAATAAATGTTTATGTTAATCTACTGACAAATCGTTGAAAAGCCATAAATTTGTGTGACTAATCAAAAAAATATTTCTAGTGATTCTCCAACATTATAATAAACATAAACTTTCAAAGTATGTTATTGTTATTTTTGTCTTTACTTTTATATCCCGTGTGTTAAATAATGATTACACGTATTGATATTGTTCCAGCATGCATCTCGGAGTTAATATATCAAATGCTTTACAACAATTAGAAAGTGTAAAAGCAGCTGTAGATCAAAGTGATGATCCCAAGTTAAAGGTGAGACTTGGAAACATTTATTGTGCTTCATTAGTTTGTAGTAAACATTGACAATATTGTTTTAAATTTAGTTATTGAATTCTAAATTAGTTTTTGTGCTTGAGATTGCAAGATGTAAGTACTTGTATTGTTTGTTTGTTTTCTTCATGTTTCTAGATTTTGTCCTTGTACACAATATTGTGATTTGTTATTGTATTACGTAATTAACACCAAACTACATTAGTTAATTCAAATTATTTCTTAGGATTTATAGTTCTTTTGTGTTAAATTTGGTTTATGAAATTTATTTGTTCTATACAATTGAACAGGCTGCCACCAATGATGACTTGAATATGCTGATAAACTTGTTGGAAAGTCCTATACTAAAGAGTATAGCGACACTCCATGACTCTGTAGGAATGCTTGCAACCCAGGTTGCACATCACCCTTCTATAATTCCCGGAGACTTTGATATCACTCCAGCAGGTAATATATTCTAAACATATTTAGAAATATCAATTGACTATACTAACTCTTCATCTGCCGACCTTTATCTTGTACTAGTGTCTTTATTTACACAAGCTTATAAAAATCGATTGATATTATTATTTATTTATTGCAACAACTTATTTTTGACTAAGTTATCAATATTTTTGAAGTTACTATTTACTATATGGATATATAATTTATGTTTTTGAAATACTAAAACATTGTTTTTTAGGTGATCTTGCTCTACAAGCAAGGAACTTGTATGGAAGTCATGAGGGGGAGGAAGAGCAGCGTGTTCCCCAAGTATCACCACCACATAGTCTTGAATTTGGTTCTGGCTCTGATAATGAGCGCATTCTGGGGCTCGACAGTGGATCTGTGGACTCAAACATGTCTCCAAAACAGGTATGTATAACATATTATATATAATGTATATATATATAAAATAAATATAAAAAAAACACACCGACAACATAGGAGAAAATCCTAGTGTGGGGCAATATTTTTTTCAATGAATAAAAAATTTGAAAAAAGATATCTGGAGTACTGTTTACATTCCTGGATTGGATAATAGACTATGAGAAAATTTTCATAGTAGCACAGCAAATTGTGCCCAGTATCTTAAATAACAATAAGCTCAGTTCTCATAACATAGTTGACTAAAATGTGGGTGTTATGTTTTAGTTTGTGGCTATTATTGGGGAGTAAATGAGTTAAAATATGACTATTTTTTCAGAATCGTGGCCTATTGGATTTGTCAAGAACTGACGAGTCTCTCGGCTCAATGTCTCACAGCATCGTTGGTAGTGACTGGGCACAGGTTGAAATCATTAACTTGGTAAATGATGGCACTGGATTAGGATTCGGTAATTTTTTTTCTAATACTTATAAATTACCTTTAAAGGTAATTGATTAAACATGCTTTAATTAATATGTTTGTCTTCATCCTCTATCTCTCTGTTACTTGGAAAACATAAAATAATTGCATATGTGCGAAAAGTGGGTTTTACCTTATTAATTATTATGTACATCTGTCACATCCCTCAAGAAGTAAAAGACTTATTGTTATTTACTCTGAATGTCATTGTTCAAGAACATTTTCATTGTCATTTTATTGGTATTGAAGTACAAAAAATATTCACTTGACTTGAAGGTTTTCTAATGTAACAATGAGCTGTGGTAATAATGCAATTAATTTACCATAAAGTGGCACTGTACTCTGTTGTCTCCAATAGTGGTTACAACCACAGCTGCCGATGGAGAGATTGGGTCTGATTTCAGGGTTAGACAAGTTATTGTTTTTTTTTTTGTAAATTCTCATAATTAGAACTGAGTCTGAAATATGGTAATTAAAATGTATAGTTCCCGCAGTATATTGATGAAATATGGTATGAATCTCTTGTTCATACACTCAATAATGACGTAAAAAGTCCTAGCAAATCAAAATTGATAAAAAAAATAGTAAAATATATGGCTAATTCTTCTTTATTACGGAGCCAATAGATGAAACCCTGTCATTATCCCTATTGTGTCCACTATTCAGAAATGGCTTATTATATTATGATTGGCGAACAGGTTTATTATAATATGTGAGCTATGTGAATTTTAGGTATAATTGGTGCTAGGACGAGTGGCGTGATTGTCAAGACTATTTTGGCGGGAGGTGTCGCCGATAGAGATGGCCGACTGAAGTCTGGAGATCATATTTTACAAATAGGAGATGTAAGATTTTTGTATGAACTATTTGCTACTTATATGAGAAACTGAGGGCTTAGCACGAATTTGTTTATCGAATCGTAACTGCGTTCAGCACTCTGATTGGCCTGCTCTAATAAACCAACCCATCACCGCCGAACGCAGTTACGTTTGCTCTGGACTTTTGTCTTTTTGCTAAAGAAACCAAAATCGAAAGTAAATCCTTATGCAATAAAATATTTTAAATATTCTGTGTATATTTAATAAACATCCGAGAATGCAGTTTATAAGTTGAGAATGGTATGTTGATAAGTATGTTAGGTATGCTCTGTAAAGGAAGAAACTTATATCAACAATGGTATCCGCTTATAGTTTGAATTGAGCACGTCTTTTATCGGTGAGTAGTGTTTCGTCGAGCGCAAACACAACGGCAGATCATGGAATCTCGGGATTTCCGATTTTCAAATTACTATGAGGTATTCACATGTGAATCAAACATGACTGTGAAGTACCTAATTAATATTACAGTGCTTGTTCATATTTGATATTGTGATTATATGTGATAAAATTCAAAATAAAATTAATGATGGTCGTGCTAGATTTGATAATAAGTATTTTGATGTGTTTTATCTCCTGAATTGCTAGCAAAAACGAGTGTTTTTCTTCTTTCAGGCTCATTTAATGGAGATGGGTTCGGAGCAAGTGGCGGGAGTGTTGCGTGCGTCAGGTTCCCGGGTGCGGCTGGTAGTGGCTCGCGCCGCGGACCCGGCCGCGCCCCCGCTGCACTCACACGCGGCTCATCCAGGACACTCTGCACCACTCGTACCTGCCAGGTATGTATTTATCTTACTATTAAAATGCTAACGTTAGTATGTTTGTTTGTTATCCCTTCACGTCAAAACGACTGAAGAAGAAGAAGAAACGAGATGAAATTTGTGACAGGCAGGGGCAGATTAGGTATGGTCTGGAATAACACATAGGCCACTTTTTATTCCACGGGAATGCGGGTGCTGCCGCTGGCAGAAGCTAGTTATGAATATGTTTATTTACTTCACATAACATTACGCCGAATTTATCCCCGAAGGCGTAGGCAGAGGTGCACATTACGGCACTTAATGCCACTGTACAATGTAACACCCACTTTTCATTATTTATGTTATGAGTCCCATGTAATAGGGGTGCGCCTATTGCCATGTACCCGGCACAATTCCAGACTCCATGCTACTACTGCGAATTAAAAAAAAACCAGTAATACTTTGCTTGACCTGGAAATCGAACCCGACACCCTTGCCCGGCAGGCGCACTTGAGAATACTCGGCCAACGAAGCAGAATATGTTTATTTATTTAAAACTCTATATACAAGTGTATGGTATACTCATCTTTATTTATTTTATTTGTAACACATTGTTTGTATATAAATTGCATAACGGCGAGCTTAATTCAAACAGCATTCTCAGTCAGTCTACCTTTAGGTAGTGTACGGCTGAATGTTCTATCTTTGTTGTATTCGGTAAGTTTTAGTGACTCTACCGTAAAAGGGTGAAGATGTTTTTGTATTAATTTTGATTTATTTTCAATTGGGTACTTCCCAACTAGACAAATACTCAATACTCTTTTTGAACTGTCAAAAACGACAGTTTTATATGGATTTTGTACGAGATTGTGTATTGTGACGTCACGTCTTTTTTGCGTCAAACAGCATACCTACTATTTATTTAAAAATTTGCTGGAAAAATACTTAAATTAAGTTGGTCATAAAATCTGTTTGTGAAAATGTGATTATTTTTAAATATTTTATTGTATCAGTCCCAATTATAAACTGGTCAATCATCATGGCTTAGCAATTACATTATAGTGTCTAATTTCGTATATTGGTATTTGCAGTTCTGCTATATAGAATGTTTTAGTATTTCATAGACCAATAACTACTCAGATCATTGCAAATTCCATAATAGATTCTCAACCTTACTGTTTTGGAATAAACTTGAAAATTATTTTTTTTTCTTACAGGCTCCTGTCGGACCCTGAGGCTCTGGACCGCTACCTACTAGACGCAGGCTTCGAACAAGTATTCCACACCCAACCTACACCAGTCCCACACAACAATGCCTCCAGATTTGTATTCGACAGATCCATTACACCACCACCTGATGCAGGTAAATACTGCTTTTAAGTGCCTTTGCATCAGTAAATATTTGGTTAACTCAAAGTCATAAGAAGTTTAATGACTTAATGATATTAATTTGATATGAATTCGTAGATGCGGAGTCACCAGAAGTCGATAGATTCACAGTGCAGCTGAAGAAGGACGAAAATGGACTCGGAATTACTATTGCAGGTATTTTTTAAGTTCAATTCACACTTATGTAAACTGTTCGAGATTGATAGACGAATTTCCAGTTACACCGGAGCTTATAATCAAAAACAGAATGCGAATTGATTGCTTTCTTAGCATATACACCTGAGTGTAACATAATGAAAGCTCGAAAATTATAGTAAAAAATATAATACTTTAATGTTATCTATATTATATATCTATTTTTTTCCAGGCTATGTATGTGAAAAAGAGGAACTTTCGGGAATATTCGTAAAGTCGGTAACGCCGGGTAGCGCGGCGGCTTTGAGTGGCAAGGTGCGCGTCAACGATCGCATCGTCGCCGTCGACGGCGTCTCTCTCGCGGGCAAGTCTAACCAACGAGCTGTCGACGCACTCAAACAGAGTGGGAACATTGTTACACTGGAATTGGAAAGGTAAATTACTTCAAAAATTGATGTAAAATAGTAATTGTTGACTTATAAATCAAACGACATAAAAGCAATTAATTTCTATTTTGTAATAGCGGAGAATTTATGAAATTAAAATAAAACTGAAGTTTCTATATAACATCAACGGAAATCATAATTTCAAGAAATATGACGATGATCGTTTTCGTCGATTCAAAATAAAGTGTTTTTTTCATAGCTTAGTTATTTAATGTATTTATTTGATAGTTACTCGTTCTAATTAACATTAATATAATAATGAATCTTTCTATACACAGATACCTTCGCGGTCCAAAATTCGAGCAGCTACAGCAGGCTATAGCGGCAGGGGAGAGCGCGGCCAGTACTGTGACTCCACACAATCCATTCTTACACATGCACCGCCCTGACACGCTGCCCTCGCCTGAACATGACATACCCATGGCACAGCTACATAACTCGTAAGTACTACCTTATACTCACCAAAAGTCAAAGTTCACAGTTAGACTCCATAATCTGTTGAAAATATGGCTCTTAGTATTATATCTCTCTTAGTATTATGGCTCTTAGTATCCATGCTTAGTAGACGGGTTGGTTCTTTGTATCTACGTAAACAAACCATAGTAAACTTAGAGTAGCTCTACGGCCCTAAACAATAATTCTATAATATTTATTATGTGAACCCATACAGTTTCATCAAGGAACTATTCATATCGAACGTCAAAGAACGTTGGCATCAATTTAGTTATTGAACTGTGCTGATGTTGTTTACTTAGCAGTGTGTCAGTGGAGAGTGCCCCCGAGGAGCCCCCGGCCGCGGCGGGCAGTGCGCGCGCGCAGCCTGCCTTCGACATGCCGCGCACGCAGGAACAGAAGGACGCCATCAAGAGGAAGTGGCAGGCTATTCTTGGTAAACAAACATTACAACATTTATTATTGTATTATAATTGGGATGATGACAGGGTATGAAAATTAAAAATCTAATTAGTCCGTAAGTTAGGTAATGCAAAAATATTAGACACGTATTTTTTTTATTTTTTGGTATAGTAACAATATTTAGATAAAACGAATCAAAGTTTAGGAGTGGGGGCTCAAACGTCATTTCTACGTATAAAAGGTGCATAGAAGTGACGTCATGCGGCATTTCAAATCAATATATCGTCGAAAGTATTAGTTTCTGTAAGAAAATAAAAAATACGTGTCTAATGATTTAAAATAATCTGCCAGACGGATATTAAAATAAAAATTAGGTATATACCGTATTTTTCGGCGATCCGTCTGATCGTTTACCGGCCCATCTCATAACAATAAAATATTTAGACTTTCTCCGCTCTTCACAAGCCTCGAGTCGACAGTAAAAAATAATTATCTAGTAAATTAAGAAATATGTGGTACCTATATAAATATGCATGTGTTAATCAAATAAAAAATTGTACTTTTCTCTCCAGGCGACGAGGTAGAGATCGTCGTCGGCGTAGTAGTCCGCGGTGGTGGTGGGCTGGGTATATCCCTGGAGGGTACAGTGGACGTGGAGGGCGGGAGGGAGGTCCGCCCGCATCACTACGTGAGGTCTGTGTTGCCGGAGGGACCGGTCGGACGCGCCGGAGTGCATCGACCTGGGGATGAGTTGCTCGGTAAGATTCTTGTTATAATGACGAAAGTGTAGGTTATAAAGTAGGGTTTGGTATTACACAATTTGCTGGTTACATTAGTTTGTTTTGTGCTTTTAAGTTATATAACATCAGTCCTTTTATCCCCGAAGGAGTAGCCAGAGGTGCACATTACGGCATTTAATGTAACACCCACTTTTCCCTATTTATGTTATGAGTTTCATGTAATAGGGGGTGAGCCTATTGCCATATACCGGACACATTTCCAGACTCGGTAGTACTGTTTTTTTTAATTTCAGTTAGTTATACTGTGGCCGACCCGGGATTTGAACCCTAGATACCTTGTCCGGCAGTCGCACTTGCGACCTCTCGGCCAATAAGGCAGTTTTTAAGTTACATTCATTATAAGTCTAGCATAATAATAGGTGAACCACATTCTGGTTAAACCCTTGCTTTATGCTATTATTGAGTACTTTTAATTAATACTAGTAGGTGATCAATCGGCCCAGATGCAAAAAACAAAATTTTTATGATAGTAAATGAACGGGGCCGCCTACAGGCCCCCATTAGAACAGAGAAGTTAGAAGTGCGTTACTAGCATTTTGGGGATTGGAGATAGTCCATTTCGGATTTATTAAAGGAAACGTCATTATGAGAGAAGATTATAAATACATGGGGCTACTCCACAGAGGTGAACGGGCACCGCCTGCTGGGCATGAACCACCTGGAGGTGGTGTCGATCCTGAAGGAGCTGTCGAGCGAGGTGTGCATGGTGTGCGCGCGCCCGCGCCCCGCGCCGCCGCTCGACCTCGCGCCGCCCGCGCCCACGCTCGTCAAGGTAACTTTTGCCATGTTGATCGTTAGTCTAATGACTCGTCGACCAAGTGGGCGCAAATGCAACTGCCGGACAAGGGGTCTCGGGTTCGATAAATACTCGTGATGTTCTGTCGAACCCCGTCCCTTATTGAATCTCATGTGATTACTAGACAACTCCTTACTCCTATAATAATTGTGTATCATTTGGTTTTAATATAACCAGCGTTTTGACAGAGCGATACTCTTAACTTCACCAATTACCACGAATGACTGTTTACTCTTGAAAACTTCATAAAAACGTTATAATAGTGTTGAGTTCGTCGTGAGTTTTGTAAATGAATGGTTGGTGGAAAGTAGGTATTATCTAAACCTCTCACTTTCAATAATTTTGGTATCTTAGACTGGACTGGACTGGACTGCACGAATATCTCTTTGATGCTTAGGACCGTAAACTTGTAATAAAACTCTTCAATCAATCAAAAACTGCGTATTTAAAAAGCTTACTCAACATATCAATGTAATATTTTAAGTATAGGATTCTTCGATTTAAGTTTCCGATACATATATTAAATATGTTTTTGATAAAATAATATTCCAAATTACGTAATTATCATAGAAAATGGGTAATTCCGAAATATAAGATTATAATGTATTAGGTAAAAACTGCTTCCGTTATTTAATTGATTGCCTACTAATCAGGTGTATAATTAATGAATGAGAAATTAATCCTCAACACATGTTACGTATTTATCAAATTATAATATTTTTTATTATGTCTGGAGATAATGTTGTAAGCTTTCAAACTTATGTAATTAATTAGACATTCTTTCAATAATCTGGGTGTCTTTTATCTATGTATTAATCAATAGACACATGTATCTGCGTCGTTGTAAAAGGAAAAAGTGCATAATTCAAATAATGGTTACATATTAGATCACATTACATCACACCTTTTAACCGCTTATCTATTATTAATATGGGACACAATAGAAAACATATTGTGTCTCGTATAAATCTACGCTCCCGGCATACCATGGGTTGATCCCCGAAAGAATAGACTGGTAATATACTCGAAGTATCACTTTATACCAGTCATGCCGCTCACGAGTTCTGTATAAGAGCTCATTGCCAGGCACAATTCCACACTATGATAAACCCAGCAATTTAATCGGCAAATTTGGCTATTTCGATTGCGAACCGACTAACAAAATTGTTAAATCAATAAGTAAATCAATTTTGATCCATCTTAAACATTTTTCAGGCCAAATCAGATGGAAGTTTGGCCGGTGCAGGCGCCGAAGAAGGAGGATCACTATCGGCCGGTGGAAAAGTGCGCTCGCGAAGTTTGGAACCCTTAACTGGTCTCGCCATGTGGTCATCTGAACCACAAATCATAGGTAAGTCTTACGATACGATCGTGATATTTTTGTGTAAATTGGTTCTAATTGTAAAATAGAGAAATGTATATTTCTGACAATATGGTAGTTGACAACTAGTCAAATTTAAAACTTTTATCGAAAAGTCAAAAACGATACTGTTCTATTAATTTTGTACGAAATACCATCTTATGACGTCATCATATTTTCGCGTCAAATAAATCTTAACAAAAATGCTAGAATAAATCGAAAATTAAGTATATCGGCAAATCAGATTTCAAATCACTGAATGAAAGTGTAACTAATATACAATATTCAATTGGACTGAAAAATCAAAATAATTTATTTTTGACCTAGGATTCTACCCAATTGTAAAAATTTGCTTATTGCCGTAATTAGAAACCGATTTTAATCCAAAACATAAGAAATTAAAAGAAAACCTTATGTCAAAAATCAATTTCACTCACTTACAAATCTTCGGATTTGTATTTGGTTGTTGCTGATGGGTGTCCATTGTATTATTTTAATTACTTCTCCCAATCTTATTTTGCAATTTCTTGATGGAATTGACATTTTCACGTATTTAATAACATTATATTTGTAATTTTCAGAACTAGTGAAAGGTGAGCGTGGTTTGGGATTCTCGATCCTGGATTACCAGGACCCGCTGCGACCGTCACATACTCTGGTGGTAATCCGTTCCCTAGTGCCGGGCGGAGTGGCTCAGCAAGATGGCCGGCTAATACCTGGGGATAGACTGCTTTTCGTCAATGATCAGGTATGTTGTCGAAAGAAATGTCTAGTACATTTGAATATTGAATGTCATTGGACTAATAACAACTGAAGTCGAGTCCAGTGTCTTAACTTCTCTTGGTAAAAACGTTATATAAACAGGTGATAACTTGAAGAGCTAAAAAATTACGTCAGAACGTAAAACGTGTGTTCACTAAAATTTTATCCATATTGAGACGAATCGTATTCAAAAATATCTCTCCAAAGACTCTTAAATAAAATCTCTATAATCTAGATATTAAATTGTGTTTTTTTCTCGATTCTCGCAGAACTTGGAAGACGCAAGTCTAGAACAAGCAGTGGCAGCATTGAAAGGCGCCCCGCGTGGAGTAGTTCGCATCGGAGTGGCCAAACCACTTCCACTCGCCGACGCACCACCCCCGCTACCACACACTGCCCCGCCCTCTCAACCTTAGACTTAAAACATACGACATTTAAAACAAAAGGCAAAAACCTAGGAATCAAAATTAAGCGGTAAGAATATTCCTTGATCTTCCTATATGAGAAAATGCTGATAAAAATTACGTCAAGTAAGCCAAATGGTATAATAATATCGACAGTCTGCCAATCAACAGCTACCATTCACTGTTCGACTATGAGTCTCGTCTCCTAAGAGGGTTCGCCATAATCTCGAAATGGCATATACGCTGTCATTTGACAAAATATGACAAATATGTCAAACCCATACATTACCTTTTCTTTTCTATTCACCCCATTCGACTAACGTCTATGCTGTTAGAGCGAGACAAACTGTCATGCGTTTATTGTTTCTGTCGTCTTAATTATTTTATGGCTTCTATCTTTTGTCTTAACGCTTTTTTTTAAGTTGCCAGTTTTTGCCTAAAGTATTATTGCTCATTTAAACTCTTTGTTTGGTTACACTACGGTAGCTAGATTAAAAAGTTATTGCGTCATATCATTATTATTTCATTTAAACTGTATTATTATATTAATGACATATTATACTGCGATTTATTATAATTATTAAGTTTTAATTTTCACTTAACTAACTTTATATCTTTTTGTGTGTTCGACTAGTTGTTAGCTTAAGTATTTTAAAATTTATCGATTTTATTAGTTTAGTTATAGATAAATATAATCATTGAACAATGTACTTAATACTTATTTGCTATATGAATCTTCTTAAAACTTTTGATTGTAATGAAATCATAAAACTGTATTTCCTGAAGGGTGAATAGGCCCGAGTGAATAGGTTGCTTATGGGACGACGTGCTCCATCGTAGACCGCATCACCGGTTACCTACTGGCGAGATAGGGGTCAAACGTCGACCCAACAAATATATAGAAAAAGAACTCCCAATGTATAAAAGCATTCCCAAGTAAACTATCACTATAGGAATTGAGATTTTAGTTTATTTGACAAATCTGACTCCAAATGAAATTGCGACAATATTTTAACATAGTGAGCTTCTAATTCCAAAATATTCCTAAGAAAACATAATATTAAATAATATTATTATAGTAAAGAAAAATATACCATATTGTTTTGTATGGAAGGTTCATTTTACACTGAGCATCTGACTTACGTTATGTTGAGCAGTCAGAAAGGTCACTGAACTTCGCATCAAATATAATATTTTGCTTGATTATAATTATTTGCCTTAAAATACATAAAATGTGATGCAAAATACTAATTTTATAGGAAATATATTAGATAAAAATATATAGATAAATGAATCTAAACATTCTGTGATGCATTCCGAGATGTTACACGGACCTATGTACTTACTGTCCAGATACAGAAAATATTAGTCAATTTACTTGGAATTATGTTAAGGACATTTTATATTATTATCATTATAATATTCGTGTTTATGGGAGTCTTGCAGCTCTATATTAATCTATAAACTATTTTATGTATGGATTAATTTAAATAAATTATCCTGTTTGTCACATTTTAACTGATTTTAAAAGAGGTTCTTTGTTTGACTCCTATGTATGTTTGTGCGCGATTGTCTGAACCGATTCAGATATGGTGTTCAGAAAAGTGTTTGTTACACTTAGGAAAAGGTTTTATATTAATTAACCAAACTCAAATAAAGAGGGCGTTGAAATTGGTTTTTTCAAACTCAGTTCTAAAAAAAATTATTATCTAATTCTATTCCACCTATTAAAGGCTGCAAGATAGTTTTGCTGTTTGCCTAGATATCGATATGTCGGATAGTATTTCATTGTAGTAATATTGGTTATATCGGAGTTTAGGTAAGCGCAAACGCTCCTACAAATGTCATGGCTGTCACACACGTTAATTTAATAAATAATGCTGAAATACTTAAACAACTTTAAGTCGCATTTAAGTATAGTTCTATCAATACAAATCCTTTGTAAAAATAAGATGACACGAAAAAAAAGGAGATGGCACGATATTTAAATTAATAATAATAATATTTAAATACAACTTAATATTTAGTAGCCTTTCAGTATTTGGGTGTAAAACAGTTTATGACACTAGCTTCTGCCCGCGACTTCGTACGCGCAATCTCGTTTTCTCCCGTTCTCGTAGGATTTTCAGGACCTTTTTTTGTCATAAGAACCTTCTCCTGAAAGTAATAAACACAACAAAAAAAAATAAGCCAAATCGATCTAGCCGTTCTCAAGTTATGGTGTGACAACGGGAAACGGGTTTCATTTATATATATAGATAGATAGATAGATTAAAAATTATATTTAATACTTACTTTCGAACTCTATTACGGATTTTTGAAGATCAATTATTGTTATCATTCCAACTAATATATCATTCTATGAAGTTATTTTGTATGAATTCTGACATGATTCTTTATTTTATTGATATGACATTATCTTTTAATTTTAAGTATTATTATAAAAAATATCTACCTGACATCTTTATTCAATTGTATTCAATCGTTGTCTTGTTACTTTCTTTACATATAATATTGTCCATTCCAATAAATTTATATTATGAATTACAGACTGTTTCATTTAAAGTCATTGTACCAACTTTATTTATTTAAGTTTTTATTACCACAGGATCCTCTTTAATTTGAACACTATGATCATACAATGTATCTACTAAGGGCCGATTTTTCAATCATCAGTTAAGTCTTAACTGTACAATAAAATTGACATATGACAGTTTTTAATATGGAAGATTCGACAAATATTGTTATTCCTTTTATAAAATTTAAGTGAGTATTGAAAAATCGGCACTTACGCACAAAATAAACAATATTATAGATTTTTGTTACTTTCGCAACCTAGTAGGATTATAGTGCCTCCTAATAGGTAAAATAAATAGAGGTTAATGAAAACGATAGTTGAAATGTAGGTCTGAAGATGTTCTAAGAGTTATATACTCTTGTGTTCTCATATGGAAGACAGTGATACCAAAGTGCAAGCATTAAAACCACCATTAGATTTTATAAAATATATTTTTTGTAACAAAAATATAACCTATTTACACCTTTACGTAAAGTACTATCAATCACATTGATTCCGATGCGCTAGTCCCTAGTTGAGCAATAACGAATTAAGTTAACAATTATTTATTACGTTGTCCCTCGCCTTAAACACTAATCCTACTGTTTATTCCTTATAAAAGTTCTCTATGATGTCTTTGTACTTCTCGTAGACTACGTTTCTCTTCACTTTTAGCGTTGGTCCTGTAAAGAAATTATTATAATTAAGATTTGTTTGCACAAAGATTTGTATGCATGTTCAAAACATTTACGCCCGAATACTGAAGGCTACTCATTTATAAGTCACGTTTAAGTATATAGTTCTGTCCTATATTTTTTTGTAAAATGACAGAGATGGCGATATTTAAATTAAATTAAATTAAACTTTTCAGTATTCGGGCGTTAGTTAAGTTTATATTTTCCCATATTTTAGGGATAAGTAAAATTTAAAAAAAATTGTTGCTATAATAATTTTGTTGTTCTGTTTTCACCGACTGCTTAAGTTTCTACATACCTAATTCTCCACTGTGTACTGAGAAATCTGCGGGAAGGATGGCGAATTTTTGAATCTTCTGCGCGTTGGAAATTGCATGTTTGTTGGCGCGAGTTATACCTTCTTCAATTGCTTTGTGGACCTGCGAAGACCAATTAATTAATCATTTAAAACGTGTATTCAACAGTTAGCTTAATATAATTCTGAGATTTGATTACTGGTAACACTTACAGCAGGGTCCTTACTGTTAACAATTTCACTAATCTTGGTAGCTTTGCTGCCGAGGCTGGCAACCCATTTCCTTGTTTCATTGTCTAAGTCGTCGAGAGCTTCACTGGTTTCAGAGTTCACTTTAGCCTGGAAAAAAATAACGATTGTAATATACCAAATAATTTTGAAACTTACAATTTACTATTTTTTATTTTAAAGCCACCGAGAGAGCCAGAGAGACTCGATGTCTCTTGATGAACCGACAAGTACCCAACTATTTAAAAATAGTAAGTTTTAATCCAGGTTCCTTTCTACTATTATTGTATGCTGCGAGTCAATTCAATCTGTTCAGCGGGTTTTTAAACAAGTTTTCCATCAACAAATCGTCGCGTTGTAGAATATATTAATTAATACTTTGTACTGTAAATGCATAAATTACCTTTAGAGTAAGTAGTATAGAGAGGAACTTGCGTTGGTCACCGATGAGTACAGCGTAGCCGATGTGCAGTAGTTCAGCCTGTACCGCCTGTTCAATCAACACAGGAGCCACATTTTCACCACCCGCCGTGATCAACAATTCCTGTAAGAAAAAATAGGTAAAGTAGATTTAAAATTATTGGAAGAAATATAGAAAACTAGGTAAGTACCAACTATTGTTAGTTTTGTACCATGTGTAATATTTTAATTGTCAAACCTAGGTACTACTTAGTAGCTACACAGCTAGATTGTTAAAAAAAAACATTTTTTTAAAAGAGTAACGATGGGTTTTTTTCTCGTTCTTCTCCATTCGAAACTACGCTTTGGAACGAGCGTCTAGTTTCACTGACAGACAGACGGACGAACAATTCAATTTTCGACGTTTCAAAAGTGCCTAATTAAGGATTAATAGAAATAAATACTTTGACTTTGTCATAATTGATTTGTGATCATCATCGTTATGTCTTTACGTTGTCTTGTGTGATAAACAGTAATTAAGCATACAGCATGATAATAAACTTAACATTACAGTGAGAACTTAGAGTACTGAAAATGAAGATTGAAAACTCCAACAATCAAACTATTTATGTATAGTTTTGTCGGGCATGGCGTTAAATTGTAAGGCATACCTTGTACCTTTTATTATTAAATAAATAATAATAAATAAAAAATAATAAACTATTACCTTTATTCTTCCTGTTATGTAAAGAAGTCCATTGCTGTCAACCCTGCCGATATCTCCAGAATGCAGCCAGCCCTCCGCGTCGATGGCTTCTTTACTCTTCGCTTCGTCACATAGGTAGCCCATGAACACGTGGCGACCTCGCATCATGATCTCACCAGGACCGTTAGGACTGGTCGATCCTCCGAACATCGTTTCTGTACCATCTAGAAGTGCACCAGCTGAGTCTAATGAGAATCTGCAAAGATGATAATATGAGTTTAGTGATAGAGAATTGCATAATAATTTAAATTTTGAAAAGAGTTCCAGAGCGGATATTAATGGGGCCGTTGGTAGAGAGACATATACTGACTGTGTAAGAAGGGCCAAATTAAAAGTACCTTTAACCAACGAGTATGCATGAAAATATTGATGACTGTTGATGAAGCCAGAGAGGTATGTAGGAATGGTGTACCACAGTCTCTGCCTACCCCAATGGGAGACATGCGTGAAGTTATGTATGTATGTAGTTACAAATTATTTCGTATCATAAAGTTTACGTAATATTTGAAAACCATGCATGGAATTTTGTCTATAAAATTAAATATAAATCTAACATTTGGGTAAAGTGTCGGAAATCCGATTCCCAACACACTGTATAAGATTTAAAACTTACAATTGTGGTACTTAGATACCAGATAATCCACAATTAACCCCAATGAGGAATACGAAACCGCGATGATGTCACCCTTTCGATAAATTTACGGAAATCCTAATTTATCAAGTAATAGGTATTGTAGTTTTATCGACTTATAAACAATTATCATGATTTAGCGGTTTCACTTTACCTATACGCATGTCTCATTTGTTTAGGGAAAATAATCAAAAAGGTGCAGTCTGTTACTCATACCTATTCCATGTAATTATAAAGATAACGTTACCACAGTTCGATGATAGTCACAATTTGTAACATTGAATATTCCATGCGAAGTTTATAAGTCACTGATAAGAATTTTATTAAGGTGAATCATAGGTAAGTAGGTAGGTAATCTACAATTTTTATGTCAATGATATTTTGTGGTTTTTCCTAAAGATTTCAATAGTACATTGCATTTGGAAACTTACTTGGGATATATGCTAAGCGTGTGAGCTCCGGAAGCCTCACTCATTCCGAAGGCATCAACAATAGGTAGATCGAGAGAGAGGAAGAACTTCTTGATATCAGGCGACAGTGGCGCCGCTGAGGTCACGAACGTCGTGCAGTGGTCCAACCCAAGAGACTCGTGTATCTTGTTGAACACCAACGACTTGGCCATCTTATATCCGAATGACGAACCGTCCACCCTGAATATGTGAAGATAATTAGTAATTGGTAGGAATAATTTAGATTTTAGATGATGTTGATTCTAATGTTGTTCCATTTAGGTTCTACCTAAGTACTGAAAAAAGTAATCTACTTCACACCATGCTTTCGTAAAATATATGGATTTGATGCACTATAATAACTATCAAGTAGGTACAACTAGTTACCTTCAATCATATCCATAAGTAGAGACTACTAGAGACATAGTTACAATGTACCTGTGTAAATACAAACTACATACTATGCATTTAAAAAGTCCAATATTAACATAGGTACTTAAACTCATTTGCGTCCGTCTTTTGTGTTCTGAGCTATATTTACTGTAATAAGCAGGCGTAATTCGAAACATATGTTTACTAATGATTGAACATTTCATGTATTTCAACATCAACTTTGTTTTGTCCGCAAACAATGCCAAGTGCATGTACCGACCTAACTACGTAACGCGTGTTATTCACGGTCTTATATGTTGGTAAACAAGTATTAAACTAGAATGACTTAATTTAAAATCAAATGAATATGGAATACTCAAACAAAAATAATAACAATGAATGATGGGATTTAAGAAGCTGTGTAGTGTGTATCATACGTATTATTGAATGTTGTTTAATAAATTCCTAAGTAGACCGTTTAGGGCCGTGGAACAATTGAGGATGGATAGTGGCGTATTTTCTTGACTTATTGTTGCAGTTACTGCTCATTACAATAGGTAATTGATCAATGTTTCCAAATAATAACATTTATATAATCTGTCTGGAGGTTACTACACAATATCATTTTGTCAGTGTTGCGTAAATAAGGTTATATTGTACATAATTTATTTTAGTGTGCCTTACTTATCTTCAAATATATTATTTTTATGATATATTTCTACAGGTATGGAGCCTGGATTGGTAGTCTCCAAAATAGACACTAATAATTCCATAACAACAAAAAAATACTCTAAAATAAACTACATTATTAGATTTTTATGGATATTTTATTTTATGTGTATTGTGTATTTAATGTGTTGCAGAATGTTCATTTTACTAAAATGAACATTCTGCAAAAATAGGTAGTTTAATTTTGGCGTTTAATGGGCTAAAGTTAAAGTCAAAGCATTATTACCATGAATCCTTAAATAGACACTTTTGGAACTTCAAAATATAACTAATGAAACGTCTACTCAATCTGTTACAATTTTAATGGGAATAGGGGAGACTACATCAAATATTTCTAACTACTTTCAACTAGAAAAAAACTCAAAATGTGCGCACACGTTAATGAGGTACTCAAGCACAAATCAGTTGCTAATTAAGTGCTAAACAACATTGGGAAGCATGCTGCAAGCTACGGGGTCATTGACTTTACATACCAAAACTTTATCATTTCGAGGATGGTGAAGTCTATAGGCAGAGCGTACATACTGCTCGATAGGGCACTGATTGGAAAATATTTGTATTAATAGAACTATTCGAAACTTTTCTTTTAAGGATGAATATTATACGGAATTCCGTAGATCTAGATTCAGTCCAGAATGGTCATTTTAGGTGGCTCAGCAATGTACGACAGGGACCTCTTTATTTTAAATCCTTTTTGTTCTACGAATTACACTTAACGAGCTACATACATACATTTATCATCAGATTTGTCATAACTTTTTTATAAATCCTTTTAAACGTAATAAAATCGTATCGTATCATAATCATAATCGGTTAATAATTGTAATCAGTACAAGGCCAGTCTACACCTAGTTAACTAATAATCGCTGAGTATTCATCTCTTACGTTATGTGCGGAAGTTTACGGCTAAGGTCACATTGCAAGATTTATGTAGGAGACATTATCGTCTGGAGGACGAATGCTAAGTGCATAGTGATATTTATAGACGTTTCTGATTGCATTCGGAGACTCTATGAGTGTAGAGATAGATTCCGTTGATATTTTAGAAGATAGATGCAATTTGGAATTTTAGAAGATAGATGCAATTTGGAAACTGAGTACCTACTTAAATTGGAAAGTTCTTAGTTATCTACTTTGCTTCCTATTATTAATCACTAGTAGTGTGCAAATATCCACCAAATCACCCTTAATACACCCTTAATATATCCTATTTCGACTACTTATAACAAAAAAAAACACTTCATACCCATTAATCCTGGCAAGATGGTACTTAAGACCCTTGTCCTTAGCACACATAGCAATCTGCTTCTTCAAATAACCGCTGGACGCGCCAACAGCCATGATCTTTTCATACATTTTCTCCCATACTCGCGGTACGCCCAAGAACCTGATGATAATTGCATAGATCTTATCAATTGATACGAAAAAAAACGCTAAAACTTCCTTTTTTAATTATCTATGTAGTGACTCAAATATCACACGTTTTGTAAATCGATAGTATCTAAATTTAAACAGGTGTTGTGCACTAGGTACGCATGTATCTGACGCATTCTTGTATCAAACGAATGACTTATGAATTAGCAATACCTTATTTGTAAAGTGCTCATAATAAAATCTACGTGGGTGAACATTTAGACAAATATAAAACTTAGAAATTAATGGATATTATTAAGGTTTGATTTGATATTCGATGCACGTTACCTCGTCGGTCGAACTTCCTTGAGTGTTTCTACCAAGCTGCCTTTGAGCGCGTCCGGTTGCGCGAAGAACACAGGGATCGCATTCGACAATGTTGTGTAGATGTCTACTACCTGGTGTTTAAAGTAAAAAAAAAGAAATTAGCAGAGGAGTACTCCTGTGTACCGAGCATTGTTTCGGCAAATTAAGGATACGTCGCGGCACTTATTGAAATTCGCGAATCATTAAAAAGGGGATATTAAAATCATTAAAAACGGGTAAGGGGTCTCGGGTTCGATTCCCGGGTCGGGCAAAGTATTACTGGGTTTTTAAAAAATTCTCAGTAGTAGCACGGAGTCTGGAACTGTGCCCGGTATATGGCAATAGGCTCACCCCCTATTACATGGGACTCATAACATAATAGTGAAAAGTGGGTGTTACATTGTACAGTGGCATAATGTGCACCTCTGCCTACCCCTTCGGGGATAAAAGGCGTGATGTTATGTTATGTTATGGGATATTAAAAGAAACTAGTTATATTATAATTTTGTAAACTATTGGAAATGCATATTAAAATGTATTATCTAAGTGATGGTCATTTAAGTATTCCGCTTTCACTTTTTTAATCTTTAAATTACGTACCTAGGTACCTGTGCAGTAGATACAATCGAGCCATACAATATCCGCAAAGGTTATCAAAGGAGGTAAATTCTTTAACTTTAATTTTATTTAAAATAATATCTATTATGATAGGTTATTAACATGTCCAGAATGACATGCAAGATGCAAACTGGTATATTACTGAAAATTTGCTTGTACTGCGATAACCCATCGACCTTATTGACTTACTGGATTAATAAACAAGTGATACCTTATGTTTTCTTTTACTTATCGATTAACAAGATGAAATTAATATGCTTAGCGATAACATTTATGGATAACGGCGTCAACGTCATAAACAAGTCAGATAAAAGTGCATTTTCTACGCAACACGAAACAAATTAAAGTTAATAAATTAACTAAATCGATAAATCATTTAATAAACACTTCGGTGTTGATAATTAAAAACATTACATCGCACGTAAAATATTTTGACTACAATAACTGTTTCTAATAGGAGAATATAAATTACGACGACAAATCTGGCTGGTTTCACTAACGTTTAAAAAGATGTTTGTTTCTGTGGACACGGTGTTGCACCCGACAAGACAAGCCAAGCGAAGCGCCAGGGCACTACATAGGTACCTTTTTTCCAAACGCTTCGTAGTTTTTTTAACCACATAACTTAGTTTTAGGTGTACGTTTTAATTGAAATAATTGCCTTGACTTTAATCTGTACAGACCTGAGCAGCGACGTGACTGAGAGGTAAGAAGGAGATGATGCGGTCATACGTTGGCTGCAGATCTCCCACTCTCTCGGAGATGGAGTAAGCGTCCCACGTCAAGTTGTCATGAGACAACATCACAGCTTTCGGGGGACCCACTGTTCCTGACTGTGAATGACATGAATGATTAGTTCAATCTCTAAACATAGGAGAATGGTAGTAAAATTATGTAAAAAGAATGAGGTTTACTTGGTCCCTTGTCCTTTTTCATAAGGAGTTGCTATCTTGTACAGGCTTTAAAGTAAACCGTGTCTTATGACATCCAGTTAAGGATCTATGTCAATCATTAATTTTATAATCTCAATCTATTTACCTATTAGATAAAATCTTACCGTGTACACTAATGTGCAGCATTCGTTGACAGCAATCGTTTTTAAAACATTGTCTAGTTGTGTATTGGGCTCTTTGGCACCCATTTCCAGAACTTGCTCCCACTGAAATCAATCAATTTTTATCTCAATTAGTACAAATTACTCATCAAACTCTTTAATCATCACGTAAGACTTCGCTTTACACATTCTAGAATAAACGAGAAAATTTGTAATCATACAAACATTACAACACCACATTTTTAAGAAGTTTTTTGAATAGCGATCGATTTGGATAGTTAGGAGACCAACTACAAACGGACTGTGGTCTAACTACAAACGTTAAAGGCAATAAATCATTTGGAGAAACTAATCAAGTATCTACTTACACTGTAAACACCAGGTACGGATGTGTCAACTTTTCCCTCCCATTGTATTAGCGCCTTCAAATGCGGCAGTTTGTGTCGGACGGACAGGATCTTGTCGAGTTGCTTCTTGTCCTGCACGGCACAGATGTTGGCTCGAGACGACAGCAGACAGTGGTAGCAGGCGTCCGCTGAGTTTGTTGTGTAGATACCTGCTGCGTAACCACTGGAGAAAAGAATGTAGGTAAAATATAAATGATACAAAGTCATAATGAATAACTATCACGTAACAGCCTGTCTCATTGTTTGATTGGCTGTAAGTGAATAATAAGCTCTTGCTTATTTTTTATATTCAATATCTACCTCTAACATATAAAATTCTCGTGTCACAGTTTTCGTTGCCATACTCCTCCGAAACGGCTTGACCGATTTTGATGAAATTTTTTGTGCTTATCCGGTATCTACGAGAATCGGCCAACATCTATTTTTCATCCTCGTAAATGTTAGGGGTAGACTACCCCTAAATTTTTTTCGAGATTGCGCGTACGAAGTCGCGGGCAGAAGCTAGATATTTATAAAAATCATCTAATGTCTTCTTCCGCCTTGTATTAGGCGAGAGGGAGTGCCAGACTCTTACTGACTAAAAACCACCCCGCTCCTACTTCTGCGCTTCCAGCCTCGATAACAAGAAGTCTAGGAATTGATTACAAGGTCGAGCAAAAGATTATTAATTTCCTCTTACTCTGAGGCTCTGTGTTCTGGAATTGAGTCTGATATACCTATAATAAGCAGCTGAGTTTCTTGCTATACATTCGGCTATTTACACGAGACTCATAAACGATGAAAAGTGGATGTTATATTGAAAATGTGTACTTCACTTCTTTCTTTCTTCCTTCAAGGACTTAAAATTTATGATGATCTTAACTAGATATTCTTTTATTAGGTAGATATGCGGTACAAGTGTCTCATTGAATAGAGAATCTAATTTTAGTCTGGAATTGAGCCTGGTGTCAATACACCACGTAATACAGAGCATATCATTAATTGAACGAATGATAAATAGGCCAAAAGTCAGTGTTCTTCATCTGCCTATGACTTCAGAATAAAATGGTCAACATGTAATGATATTTTAATTAATTTTTATATGACCATTAAAGGAAATTCCTGTTATTCCGTAACGCTGATAAAATTATCACTTTGATGTCAAAGATATTTTGACGTATTTATCTATTTTTCAATAATAAACTAATTCAAATAGCACAATAAACAAATAAAGTAATAAATAAATAAACTAGCCAACGGATTTCTAATCTTGGGCAGGTTGTAAAAGGTATTAGAATGGTTTATACCCCGATCGCCGGTCTGTTGTAATCTTTAACACATTGTTTATGTACTAAGCGTTCAAAATGTAAAACAATTGTGAAACAATTGGTTTGTATGTGTAAACTGCGCACAAACTATAAGAAGACCATTAGAGCAGGTTGTATTAAAAAATGTTTTTAACATCACGCCTTTTATCTTTGACGGGTTAGGCAGAGATGCACATTACGGCATTTAATGCCACTATAATGTAACACCCACTTTATACTATTTATGTTATGAGTCCCTTGTATATAACCAGTGAGCCTATTGCCATATACCGGGCACCATTCCAGGCCCCGTGCTACTACTCAGATTTTTTAAACCCAGTAATACTTTGCCCGACCCGGGAATTAAACCCGAGACCCCTTGCCCGGCAGTCACACCTGCGACCACTCGGCCAACGAGTATTAATAAAAGTATAACTAGAAAAGTTATAAATTGTTGCTATTTACAGAATAGCTCTGATAAAACTCATTCTAGAATACTTAGATTTAGATCGTATCAACAAATAGATAAATAGAACTTTAATGTGAATAAAATAATCACCTATTGTTTGAGTTCAGACACCTACGGAAGTTTTTTTCATGATTTCTGATATAAGTAATTTATACTTGCGTCACTCCTCCGCGATCATACATTAATTGCTATTTTTTCAGTTTCCACAATACTCTATAATCTCATTACTTATATTCAAAATGTTTGTATCTACCTACGTACATATATTACGTAGTTCGAAAATTCGAGAAACATATTCGAGGTCATTGCCAAAACGGATCAACATCCAATTAAATTACTTTCACCCAGTGTAAAGCTAATTTACATTTTCTAGAAAAGATGATTCCTATGTGACAAGTAAATACATAACATACTAACCCAGCGTGTATGGCTGCTAAGTCGGCGACGAACCATTGTTCCGAGTTGAAACCGAGAATGCAGACAGAGTGGTATCGCTCTAGGCCTAGCTTTATAAAAGCTTTCGCCACAGTGCGCACACGCTCTTGGTATTGCCTGGAAAATACATAAAGTTACGTAAAGAGAAAAAACGAAAAAAATAATGAATGTATGATAACAAAGTACCTATTTAAAGGAATTACAGCATATTCACATAGATAAAAACATTGATGACGTTAATAGTTTTTATTATCGTGTTCTATCTGTTGATATTATAACTGATGATTAACACCGGCACTACAAAGGATTTTCATTATAAATTCCTTCCATCGACAACTCTTTGAATGTTATGTAAATAATCTGCCCTAGTAACATTAAAACAATTTGTTATCATCAAAGTTATAACATATCAGATAGCTGGATACGTATGAAAATATTATTATGCATTTTAATTTTATCTGGGAATTAAGAGCTTAACTGCCGGTCGACTTGCCCCAGGAAAAGTAATCAAATGATTTAATTAATCTATTACGAATGTGCTACAGGGAAGGATTATGCAGACTACTTATCGAGGATTTTTGCAACAAGGACACGAAGATAATTGATAAGCTTACTTGTAAGTGATTTTGTGCCATTTTCCGTCTGCTTTTTTCGTAGCGAGGGCTGTGGCGTCGGGGTACCTCGCTACAGTCCGGTTGAGTAGGCCGGGCACTGAGATTGGGGGTTCGGAAGCCACTCCTCGGGCTTTTACGTGCAGTTTCACATGCCCCCCAGGTTCAGAACAAATGAAACTATCGGCTGGTATAACTTGATCCGGCCCTGTAAGGAAATTTAAACGTAAATATATGCAGTATTTATAAACATTCGCCTTTGGGCTAAATATGTGACATTAATGTAAGCAAGCAACGGTTCGATAATTGCGATTGTTATAAGTAGCCTGCATGTGTCGTCTAAATTGTATAGGTTTTCTTAGCACATTGAGTTTACCCAGTTCGGCAATAGCAATTTTTATCAAACATACATTAGACTTGTAACAAGATCTAATGTATTGAAGGGTTAGTAGATAACCAGCAATATGTACCTACAAATAATTATCAAGTTCGCCATTGTTATCTTTTGCACCGTGGCAAAATGATCAGCGAGGTAATCAATTAGGTAATTATAATTTATAATTATTGATGACGTGCATAATGTCTGTATATCTTCCGTAAAACAGTTGATTCAATGTTTAAGTAAACACCAGTTAGCGACCAAGATAATGTGTATGTTGATAACTATTTTGATAATGCAGTACGTTTATCAAAATAGTTACAGTTTAACTTCAGCAACAACAAAAAAATTGCATTGATAAAATCTATAGTAACCGATTTCACCACATTATAAGAAAATATGTAAGTACCTACAATCTACATGAGTGTGCATTTATTAAGTGATTATTTATGACAAAGTAAATAGGATTTGGTCTTATCTAGTCCCCTACTGACACACAGAAACATAGCTCCCGATCAAACGACCGGACGTTTCATTTTAAAACAGGTCAAGTACTGTCCTGTGTACCTGTAGCTATTTTGAAAATCGCCATCCTGACTGACTGAAGACCGATTGACTTACCGTTCAAATGTTTCCCATGACTAATTCCATTGGGCACCTGCATTGTATTAACTTTAACTATTTCTTCGCCGTTTTCCACGATTACTGTCGTGCTATCCTGAAAACAATATTTTATAAAATGTATTATTAGTTTTACATGAACTATGTTTCTGCGACATACAAAAATATTTTTCCTTAAGTGTGTTTACATTCTAGTACATCTGCCACAAGTCATTCAGATTTGATTCCTTGTATGGGCAGAAAGTAGGACTCGGTTGGGGAATTACAAGTACCTACTGTATGGTAAACTAGTATTGTTAAACATTTATCCTTAGTACTTTCATTTGGGATATAAAGTCCTACATTGATTTGTCTTCCAACGGTATCCAAATTTAAACTAAGTATAATATTATCTTTTCTCTTTAACCTATATCTTTGCTTCGTTCTTTGACAAGCTGACAGATAATTTGACCTATTTTCCAAAGGGAATGTTTCAAAATATATCTTATTTAAGCTGGTAAAACTTAATTAGACATAGTTATTAAGTATGACCGTGATCGAAATCGTTCTGTAGTTGTAACATTATAATTACGCATATACCATTGAGTGATGCACTACAACCCACATACTATCGTGGGTTTGTTCTCAAGAGACTCGAAAGATTGAAACGTATTACAATAAATACTTAAGCTATAAGATTATAACATATTATGTACGGAGATAAAATCTAAAATCTATTAATAATAGCAAATTTTCCTCGTCTGTCTTTACTAGAAAGATATAATTCCGGATTATATTCAATATCGTATTATTGAATGGGGAAAACGATAAGGTGACGGCATTAATGAGTGATTAACAAGATGCATGGAGGTATTACGAGTAAATCCAAGTTATAAATACTATCTAATTTTAGAGTTTTGTTTGTTAATTATTTATCAAAACTTAGATTCTGGTATCTCGTTGAAGGCAAGAAAGATTGAATGATTTATTAACGGTTTTATTGAACTTTGAAGTAGCCAAGTTAATAAAGAAATTCTGCGAGTTTTAATTTTCATGAAACTGCTCGATAAGTTACGATCATATTACGCGAGTCTAATGAAATGTCCGGTGAAAAGTGGGTGTGCCTTTCACTACCACAGTGGCCCTTCCCTTTGGGAAATACCAACGTCCCTCCAGAAATTTGATTAACGAACATTCATATTCTTTATATCGATCTATTTAAAACTTGCTGACCCGGCAAACTTCGTAACGCCTCAATTTTTTTTCTCACCTTTTAAATCTTCCCTTAAACTTCCACGAACATTTCACGACCAAAATAAGCCAAATCGGTATAGCCGTTCTCGAGTTATAGCGAGACTAACGAAGGGAAATTAATTTTTATTTATATACTAGCTTCAGCCCGCGACTTCGTACGCGCAATCCCATTTTCCCCCCGTTCCCGTTCGTGATTTTCGGTAAAAAGTAAAAAAAAAGTATCCTATGTCCGTCTCCTGGTTCTAAGGTATCTCCCTGCCAATTTTTATCTAAATCGATTGAGGCGTTCTTGATTTATAAATAGTGTAACTAACACGACTTTCTTTTATATATATAGATGTAGATTGTGTTGACAGTTGCGTGTGGTAAAAGGTAGATGACACGGAATAATTAATGGAACACAATTCTAGTTTTCTGACCACGTCTAGGTCCAAAAAAGGTTTATGTCAATCAGCCCTACATGAGAACTAGAGGCAATGAACCACATGATATGTCTAATAAATCAAGAGGTTAAAGTAAGGATATGGTGTGCTAAATCACGGCAGGGGCGGCAGAGTTCGTTACACTACAGTTCACTATACTAATAAGTCTGACCCAAGTTTGTTAACCTGAACATTCGAGCCTCAAAAATATTCTTTTATTTTTATATTCAGTACATTACCGTAATGATAAATTGTTTACGAAAGTAGCTATACCTAACAAGCATGAAATGTATAAAACGTGTTAAGAAATTAATATTATATTTCAAATATTTTTTAGCAGTAGTAAATAAGGTTGTTTGCGATTGTTATTTATCAATTACATAAAGAATTTTATGTAATAAAACCGTCTAGTAACATATGGTTACGTCCATCCGGCATTTTATTGGATTATTATTATGCCATTATCAGATAAATTACGAAGACACGTACCTATGTAATAAGTATTCGCTACAAGGTGAGCATAATTATAGGGTCGTGCGTTGCACTGTTCAAGAGTATTTATACACATTAGAACACATTTAACAAGTCGAGATACCTAATTCCAGACTGATAGGAATCTGACATTACCAAAGTCAATTTTGAAAAATCAACATTTGACCTTGGAGTCGGGATAATTATATATTTTTATAAACATAACACAGAATTTACTGATTTAAATTATAGATAGCTACTATTATAAGCTAGACAGTTACATGGACCGTAAAATACAAATTTAAAACTTAGACAAAATGCAAAATTAATGTTTAAAATTATTGTACTGAACGCTCGGACTTCGTACCGCTTCTGAATTTATAAATACCTCAAGTAGGTACCTGCATACATTTTTAAAAGATAATTTCAATAAAAGATAAAAATTATTTATCAAATCTGGTTATAGGTCTGTCTCCCCATAGGCTAAAGGCCCTTTTAAACGGAGAAAGAATATAAAACAAAGGCTCATCACAGCACAGCCCTCACCGAACATCCGCCAAGAAATGTTCGTTATTTTGAGTCCGACTCAAAATTATCAGTTAATTTCTGATGTTAATTTTGAAATCAACCAATTTTGGTTGGATATTTTTTAAGGGAGGAAAATCATAGAATGGCTTCTCCCACCTGGGTGAGGCGGGAGAGAGTGTTAGACTCTTACTGACTATAAACCACCACGTTGCTACTCCTGCCCTTCGAGCCGGAGCCCCGGCAACCCGTTAAGTCCTCCGCGGCATTTTGGATGGATGCCCTCTATCAATATCTATATACTAGTATATTTAGCACCTAAAATGTAATAATATTTTGGGAAATAGAAATATTTGAAAGACATTTGACTATTATTATTAGAAAACTTGTTATTGTTATTTATATTGCCTATAACAATTTTAAAACTCGATAATTATTTAAAACCAAGGTCTTCAAGTTTTCTAAACCTAGATTTAGAAAGATTTAGTAGCAATTCATTCGTTATAATTCTAAATATTTTAGTCATTAGTCAACAAGCAGTTATGGACTAGGTTTAATTACCATGTTCTTGGATAACTGCCTCTAATAAATTGGTCTGCATCTACAATAACTTAATGCAGTTGAAATAAAATTAATCCTAACTACGTTGTTTAAAATTCCTTAATATTTATTTTAGTGAAAGGAAGAAAATATGTCTGTTCCATAAAAACATTTTAAGAAACGAAAAAGCAAGTTTATATCTCATTTTAAAATTATATTGTCTATACATCAAAAATAATGAAGAAATAGAAATATGCCCATATTTCTATTATACATACATGTTCCATATGATACCGTCCGTCCCAGTTTTGCTCGGGTGCTTGTCAATTTTTTATTTCACATAAACACTGTTTCAATCACAAATATATTAAAGAAATATTTCTGTCCCAATAATAATATTGGGTCCCAAACCAAATAATGACAATGCATACCAAAATGAAGTAACCGTTTTGGTGCAGTCATTCGTGAGTAATGCGCGTCCATACGTACGTATGTTTTGTACATTTCGGAGTTTAATTATTATTTATATACGTAGATATTTATTATTAATTATAGTTTATTATTATTACTTATATAATTATAGTTAATTATTATTTATATAGATTTGTTATCCTTTATTTATTTCTACACTTGATTTATATATTTTTGAATATTTTATTTAATTAAAAACATTTAAAAATATACAGTAACAGTAGAAATCTAAGCTACCGGCGGCAGTCAGGGCTCCAGAGAGAGGAATTTCTGGACAATACGCGCCGTATCCAGAAGTACTGCTGCTTATTATTATTATATATGTATAATAATAGATATTCCCTTCTCATGAGTCGCATATTCTCACTTGCATGTGAATTAAAATAAAATAAAATAGATAAGTTGTAAGAACCTACACGTGGAAAATTATTCAGTATAATTTCATCGTCATATATTTTAGTCAATTTATTATTAAGTTGGATTATACATGGTTATAAATAATCCACACCTGTAAGACAGGCGCTTAGTAATCGTCAAAATTCAATCGAGAAATATTTATTAATTTATTAGGGTCCCTTATCATGTGCTCAAGTTTACTTGTAGATAAGAAATTTAGTTTGTGACATAACAGATATTAAGTAGATATTACAATAACAAAATATACGATGGTTCCTTTTTTATTTCTAAAATTAGACTTTGAGGCATATTGTTGAAGCCAATGAATTTATTAAACATTTATTCTAGCAGTTTGAAAGGCAACAATTTAATAAAAGTAGGTAATCGTTTTCTTCATTGTTATTCTGTCGTACTCAGACACACTTAATGGTTACTTAACCCAGTCCTTAGCAATTGTTTTCGGAACAAAATCGTTACTAAACAATAGTTTTAAGTATCTAATCATTAATTATTAGCAGACGAATCACCTGATGGTAAACCATCGGCATCGACCATGGACACCTGGAACACCAGAGGCGTTACAAGTGCGTTACTGGCCTTTTGGGGATAAGGAATTTGAGGAATGTCGGGGATTCAGGGATTGGTGAGATTGGGACCTCCAGTAACCTCACACGATGGAACACAACGCAAGCATTGTTTCACGTCAGTTTTCTGAGGCCGTGGTATCACTCCGGTCGAGCCGGCTCATTCGTGCCGAAGCATGGCTCTCCCTCACTTAAATGTCTCTGAGTACGGCAGATGGTTATTTGTTTTAGTTCTCTTTATTTTGATAATATATCAATACCTAAGTCATGACCTGTAACACTATTGATACGGTTCTTTCGAGAAAGTACCATAATCTTTAGCATGTTCAAATGTGATGATGCTGAATAATTTTTCTTATTAATTATATTATTTTTAATGTGTCATCTGTTTTGAAATACTTTTTATAATTAGTTGTAAATTTCGTATTAGTCAGATATTTCGATTCCGTAAACTA